CAATTGCGTTAAAGCTTATTATTTTTCACAACTTATGACAGTTTGTAAACTTGCTCAAACACTTGGTGGGACACTATTATAAATATTCTTACACCGTTCGCTGTAACCTTGACCCACGCCATTGAAACACTGTACTAGTGCCCTGACATTTTTTACGCATAGGTCAATCGTTCATGAATTTTTAAAAGCCTCGTACACTCGAAGTAAACAGAGCTAATACAACAATTACTATACGATCGCAGTTACTACCAGAAAGATAACAAGCTTTCCTAGATGCTTTCCAGTCTATTAGTTTGATTAATATTTATTTAATTCGACCATGTCTCCCCGTGACCACGGCTGCTGCAAAGCATCCGAAACGTCGGGCCGTAGTTAAAAATCCTTTTCAAATAAGTTTAACTAATATATCGCGTTTTAAACCGTTAAAGTATTTTATTTACTACTCGCGTAAACTATAGACTGTATTTAATTCAACCTTGTTTTAATTACAAATTTACAATAAATAGTGTCTGTAGTTGACCAGAGTAGTACACATTTAATTTAAACACTTTTAACGGTTTAAAACGCAAAATATATTAGTTATTTTCCCCCCGTTGAACACGGCTGCTGCAAAGCGTCCGAATCGTCGTGCCGATATATTTCTCGTGTTAAACCGTTACAGAGTTTTATTTAAATGACAAATCGAAACATACAAAATCTAGGTCTGTCTGTCAAGTGAGAAACACTCAGTCAGACAACGTTTATATTTATTGGTACTGTAAATAAAATATAATACAAATGAACAACTAAAATTAATTTTACCTTAGCCGACGAAAATGTTTATTTCCCAGTATTCGAAGCGAGGACTTTCCGTTAAACGCAATGAATTTAACTATAAATAAAAAAATGTATTACAAGTTAAAAAAAAAATTACGACTCGGGCAGGACGTGAACCGGCGACCACCAAGTTCCGTGCTTTTGTTCAAACCAATTGAGCTATCGAGGCAATGTAACTCAACTACTGACAGTGTCCATTTCACTTGAAGCCAACTCAATGTACTTATGTGTGGTTTAATTATTAAATTCTCTCGTAGTCTGTTTTGCGTCTAAAATTCTGCATTCAATATGTTTGAATGTACTATGTTGTAAACGGTTCCTCGAACAGCTAACACCACTGTAATGAATTCCGAAATGAGTCCATATTAATATTTGAAAAGCTTTGAAAGTATTAAGGACAAAATATATTTAGTAATGTAATGAAGATGCCAATGAATACTATTAATATAAAAGATATTATATATAAAAAATATATATATGTTATATGATGCTCCAAAGCTTACGAAACGTCGGGCCATCGTTAAGATATGATTTTACAGTATGTTAACAGACAAATTTTAAGTTTTAAAACGTTAAACGTGTTTTATAAATGCGTACTACTCGCGTAAACTACGTAGAATATTCGATAAAGCATTTGAATGAAGTCACAACCGTTGTTTTCTTATGATAAAGAAAAACAAGCACTTGGGTCTACAAAATAATATTCTGTATTTTTTATAAGTATGTAAAACCTATATATTGCATAGAACCCAAATAAATAAATAAAAAGCCCTGTCGAGTTTGGATATTCGGAAATGCACAGATTGAAAACGAAACGCGATTAAAACGACGTTTGAAAACTTTATAATTTGTTATTGAATGAAGGCACTATACAATTTAAAAATCGAAAAAATGTTCGACTCGGGCATGACTTGAACCGGCATCGTCGGCGTTCCGTGCTGTTGCTCTACCAATTGAGCTGCCGAGTCCTGGTGTTAGGAGTTAGGACTCGGCAGCTCAAAAAGAACGCAAAAACAACATTTAATGGGCAACAGTAACACAATAATAAAAATACTATTTAAACACTCCAACGGTTTAAATGCGAAATATATTAGTTAAACTTATTTAAAAATTATCAGGTCATGGGGGGACCACTGCTACTGCAAAATACTTTAATACAAATTTAATCACAATAATACCATTAAAATCGTGTGTTTAATTTAACTCAAAAATTACATCAATACGATTTTATATATGTTAGGGAAAGATGTAAAAAAAATGTTTGCAAGATTGAATTCCTATTGACAACTGTGAACCGGGAAAACCAATATTTACTGTGTCTCTGTGAAATCTTGTTGTCACCATCACATTTTAGTGTCTGCTTCATTTTTCGATGAAATTTAGTCTTTCGAGTCAAGTAGAGGACTTCTGTGTTCTGCTCGTCTTATTTTGTTTCCTGTAGTATTGTGTCCATGACTGTCACTAGTAAATGGTCCGCAGAAATTCAAAACAAATAACCTCTCTGTATTAAAAAAACAAGTGATCCGATTACCACACGAGCGACGCCATAGGAAAATTGAAATTAAAATTTTAGCTGCTCACCGGCTGCACTTTTTTAGTTAGGTATCCTGTTTTAGGGTTCCGTACTCAAACACTGATCCACTATAAGCTACAACTTTGTAGCCTTTCTTTTTAAATGTTACTATCTTTAACGCTAGCTAGATAAGAAATTGATTAAATAGGATTTTCTTTCAAAATATATTACTGTTTAAATAAAACACTTTTAACGGTTTAAAACGCGAAATGTATTCGTTATCTTACTCGCGTAAAATACAGATTTTACTTAAATATATAACCGCTTTAACAAACAAATAAGAATAAAATAAATGTCATTATTTATTAAATATATCACTTTTATCGGTTTAAAAATGAAATATATTATAACTTCTTTTTAATTAAATTTAACAACGGCCGGAAGTTTAACATGCCGTTTTAGTCCGTTAAAAGTATTTAATTTAAATGTGTACTACTCGCGTAAACTACAAAGAGTACTTCTTCCTATCATATCCTATAATCCTTCTCTTTTCCACTTTAAATGTAATATCCCTATTGTAATATCCTCCAAAAAATCATCTGTTGATAACTAGGCTTTAACACCTGGTGCTGTGAGCCTTGGATTCGTACAAATGTGTTCCCAAGACTCCGTCTAAACGCTCAACTTCGGTGGTGATGGTACAACCAGCTCGAACACTTTACATTGGGACAGAACCTATCAACTGTGATGCTAACTACCACTTGGCAATTTTTTGTGCCACTGGCTGGTACGCTTTAATTGAATAACGTCCCTGCTAGATCGGGCAAAACATTATATGACCCGAGGGCCTAAGCTTAATTTTCCGGCAATATGTCGAATCTGATTATAGATTGATTGATTCAACGTATTTTGACGGCCACGTTGCTCTTATGATAGACGCGGTAACAAAAGATCTACTGGATATAAATTAAAAATCGATTATAAATTGAAAAAAAGCCAAAATTTTTTCAAATTATTTTATTTATTTAGTGCCATCATGTGTTAACATGTGAAAAATAGTAATGTTTTCAAATGGATATTTGTTTGTTTTTTAATTTAATGCATGTTTATTCAGGAGCACAGCCCTCTTTGGTTAATTATAGTCATTTGATGATTATTTTATATGAATATGAAAACATTCAAATTATTTATTGATGTACCTTCTTCAGTACTTGTTATTTTTTGATTTCTTCTAATGTCAGCGATCATCTCTTTCTTGCGTGACAAATGTTTCATATTATCTCGGGACTTGAACCTGGGACCTCTAGCAGTACAATGGAAGGTAACGCGCTAATGAGCTATTGAGGTCATACTGTACTAAGTATAATTTCTGAAAGTCTTTGACTAGTAAAATATAATTTTAAATTTTCACTTAGGCAGTTATTTTAAGATCTGTGTTCTAGTTAGTTAGTTAGTTAGGGTTAAACCCCGGTCGTGCAAAGAAATTATTTCTATACATAGTAAAAACCGCTTTCGGTATTCAAAATAAAACGAATAGTACACATTTGAATAAAACACTTTTAACCGTTAAAAACGTGAAATATATTGTTCACCTTCCCTCCCGACGTGGATGCTTTGAAACGTCGGGCCGTAATTAGAATACTTACAAAAAAAATAACGTGACTAATATATTCCGCGTTTTAAACCATTAAAGGTGTTTTTATTTAAACGTCTTAAAACCAAAACATAAACACTGCTGACTAATTTAGCTAGCTGTTTGACATACCGGTGAAAAGTAAATGTAGGTAAAATAATAAATAGCTTATTGTGATAAGTTTTGGAAGAAGAAGTACTAATGCGCTCTGAAACATGTATTCTTAGACGTATGAAGCGAGTTCAAAAGAAATGAAAGCCTGTAAATGCAACGGTATTAAAAGTTACTCACAGTATGAACACATATCAGTATAGTATACTATTATAAGAAGTAGATGAAACTGTAAATAAAATATCTTTAAGTAAGGAATCGATATTAATACTTCGTAGGGGCGCAATTCAATGTACTGAAGTTGTATAGTTTCGCGTATACAGGTAAAATGGAACTGTAAGAATTAATATATTATATTTTACTTCGGTCCAGTGGTTAGTACAAAATACAGACTATTTTCACTAGAACACGACAGACAAGCACGGCTGTTCACATTAGGTGAAATACTCCAACTATATAACATCTCAATAAGATGCGCCGTCGGCCTATGTTGCTTCGGTTACTCAACAGACTGAAATCGAATCGCGACTAAACTTCACAACTTTATCTCTGGACAGTGCTTCGTGACCCGGACGAAAATTCAATGTTCCCACCACGCATTTAATATCCAGATTTCCAGACGGAGTCATGTTTCTGAAAAATTATAAACTGCTTCGAGAGCCATATACTGCTAGCATTACACAACAATTGATTGTCGATTCTAAATTGTAACCTTACAGTTGAAATTAAAAACACACTATTTATAAATTAAATTTTGTATGCTTAATGAAATGTTTTGCGTATTTAAGGGAAAAACTACAATGCCTGAAATTTGAGCTAGCGCATGCGTCGCGCTTTGTATTTCGTTAGCTGCTGACCGCACTCGCAGTTGCGTTTCACCTTGCATAGAGTGCAATGGATAAGCCCAGGTGTATTTTTCGTATTCAGGAGGCGGCTGAGGATGAGATCCATCTTGATGATGAGATGGACCGCGTGGTCTGGGGGGAAGGGAGCCAACCCCCGATCCTTCAAGCGACTGGGGAACCACTACGCGATGTTGCTGCACCACTGCCGTACAACCAAGGTAGGCTTTTAAATTTTAACGGTGAAGTTTTCGAATTTAAGAATGGAATAATAATTTTGAAAATAGAATTAACGCATTTTGAAAAATATAATTTAAGGGCCTTTAGAATTTTTAAAGCGTTTGCAAATTATGTCCGGTACGATCTCTTTGTTCTTCCGTTGCGAATATATATATATATACCTATTGCGTTGCCTATATGCGAATGAAAAGCCTATATCCTGTTTTAATGTTAATACATTTTAAATATATGCTCTACTCACATAATCTTCCTCTTGGCTATCTTTTATTTCAATAAGTTATATTTGTAAGTATTTATTTATCTTAAGTATATTTTAACATATAAAGTACGTTTAACCGGTTTAGCATTTTATTAAAGATTCTTGTTCACAAAGCAGATTGTTTTAAAACACTCAAAAGCGTTTAAAACGCGAATTGTGATCTTTTAACTCCCCGTAACCACGGTTGTCGCAAAGCTTACGAAAGGTCGGGCCATTGTTAAGATACGATTTTAAAATAAGTAAACGAATTTCGAGTTTTAAACCGTTTAAAGTGTATTATTTCAATGCGTACTACTTGCGTAAACTACGTAGAATACTCAAAAAAGCATTTAAATGAAAACTCAACCGTTTTACGATAAAGGCTACGTAGGCACGCATACGATTCACTCGACGATAGGTGAAATAAGCTATTATAATATTTAAACTGTGGGTTGTATTTTGGCTTTGGACATTATAATCAATAATGCTCTTATTTCAATTTATAAGTAATAAATGTTATATATAGACGATGTATATTATTCCACACACTGAAAAGCGAGAACATATTAATTTCAAACTAGCCTCCAACAAACTCGACCCGTTTAATTTCTACGTGTTGGACGTAGGTGTTTATAATAGATGATTTGTTGCAGATGTCACGAGCAGCTCTGATATGTCCCCAGTTAGCGGACACCACTTCAGTACAACAGGATCGGAGGCCCAGGTTAGTTGGACTTCCGTTAAAGCAGGTTGACTATTCAGCGCTTGTTAACGCCCTAACCTTATTGGCCAAGGCACTCCATGCTCTCATTGTTATGCTTATACTGTACTAGCTGTGCCCGCGACTTCGATTGGGGTAGAATTTTAAACTATTTAGGCTGTTTATTAATTTATGTAATTGCGCATTTATCGTAGCCCATCTATCACTCCTACTCTAACTCCCACTATAACTCCCACTCCCACTCCTAGTCCTATTCCCAAAAGCCATAGAAGAAAGTTTCATTGTTCTAGCTTCAAAAACCACGAATTCCCATACGAACTTTAACAGCCCCCCCTCTTAACCTCCTACAACCTCTTTTCGTAATAAAAAGTAGTATTTCTCAGGGTCTAGACCATCTGTAGTTTTGGCGTGAAAGAGTAACAGACAGACAGAGTTACGTTTGCATTTATAATATTAGTAAGGGTGAAGTGTATGTATGTTTATAAAAGACGTCAGCCTGAGCCATTCTATACTAATTGTATAAGCCTGACTGGAACGTAATTTTTTTTTATTGATGAGTATATATAAGCATGCGTTTTACTTGATGGAACATTAGCCATATATCGCCTCAACAAGATACCGCCGATTTCAGTTTAAGTCGCATCTTGCTTAGATGGTATAGGCTCTATATTAAGAAAAAATGTTGGCTTTGGACATTCGCGATTCAATAGAACCGTAACGCGATTAAGCTTTGTCTTTTTCACCTGTAAAGTGTGGTTCGTGATCCGGATGAAATTTCATTATTCCAACCATCCATTTAATATTTTGATCTTCCAGACGAAGTCGAACATGTATCATAAAACTTATAAATTGAGGATCGAACCCACGACTCGTTGAATAGAAGCTTTACATAGTACTATGGATCAAGCAGCCACCATCTCAATTTCTTTGACTCGTCAGCGTTTAATTTTTCGTTTATTACATGCTAAAATCTTGCGATCCTATCAATACGTTCCAATTTTAAATCCCGGGGAAAGATGATGAATTTCCCCCTCTCCCCCTCCTACCCCCGTGGATAAAAATGTCCTCTTTCGTAGGTACAGAGAAGTCCTGTAACGCGTATAGAATCGGCTTATGCCCGACCAACTCGGTACCGTCTAAATATCCGTGGTTATTGCAACCTGTTGAATTTAAGTTTTGTATTTGTAACCTGTTGACGCTGGTTTTTAGCTTCTTTCATCGAAGCTAATTGATTGACATGTTCTTCCAATAAGTGTTTTAAAAAGGAGATTAGTTAACGCACAATCGCTTTATTGTATTTTGTATCTGTATATATTTATATGTAGGTAGTATTTGTTATCTGTGAAACGTTTTTAGGATGCGCATTTATTTAAGTTTATTATTTCTATAAAATAACTTTCCTCGTGTGTTCCTGTTATGTTTCTTTATTGGATAAATACAAAAATTAAACTCTTTATTATCAATGTACGATTCGGCGTTACGAATGTTTTTAAAAGTACGGAGTATTCGCTAATTGACGAATCGATTCGAAAATAAAATACTTTTAACAGCGTAACGATTTATTAACAGCTGGATTGCCAATGTACAAATATTTTTACAATTCAGGCATTTTGTTTATGATAAACGAAGATTAAGTAGGTAAAATACAACATAACATCTAAATAAGGTGTGCTGTCGACCAATTTTGGCTTTGGATATTCGGAAAACCACGGACTAATGGTGAAACGCGATTCAACATTTACAACTTCTTCATCGGTGGACGGTGGTGTGTAACCCGTGTGGAATTTTGATATTCCTACCGCCTATTTAGTTTAGATCTCCTTAAAAACTTAACAAGTTTCGTTTCTTTGCTGCTAGTGATCGCAACGTGATGTTTTATAGCTTAAAAGCCTACCTCGATTAGTGTTCCAACCAACACAAAAGTTTCAATTCGAACCAATAGTTCCTGAGATTTACGCCTCCAAACAAACAGACTCTACATTTTTTAATATCAGTATAGATTACAAAAATCCAAATTTTATGCTATCGATTTTATTCGGCGTCAGTACTAAAAAAGTCAGTTATGGCACACGTAAGCCAGTCCAGCCCTTTTATGTTTAGTCTAGGATTTAGAGCGGTGAACCGTAGGCTCTGTTCGGACACAGGTCTATTGCCCAGAGCGATTTCACGAAGTGCGTTTGACAGCAACCGACGAGAACCGGATATTACACTAACATCCACATGTAACAGTCTAGCCAGGTTACCTTTGTAATATTTTAGGTGATTTTGAACTGCATTGCTTACTTCTTTACAATTGGTTAGGTTACACTTTTTAAAAGGTGACTTTAAGGTTATTTTTCCAAATTTGTACAATTTATATTTTCTTACATGTGGACAACGTGAAATGGAACGGTTATTTTATATTTTTTCTTGTTAGTATGTTACTGAAGTGAATTTTATTTACCAGAATCACTAGTTGATTTTGAATTTTGATATTATAACTATATATAAATTGAATTCTGCTCTGCTCTGCAATTTATGACACGCAATTTTATAATATAGAATATTGATACTAAAATTATAAAATTGAATTCACTGATTGGTGTTACCGAAATTCACTATCTACCTTATCAACTTTTACGCCAGTACCAAAATAAGTAACATTTTATACAAAAATATTATTTCAAATATTTCAGATAATTTCCGACAAAACCCGCTACAGAACATCAATTTTGTAACCAATATACCTCGTCTGTCGAGTGTATTGCAGTACTAATTACACCGTCTTTGATAGATTTTCTCGACCTTTGTAGCAATCTGTGTAGGTTGTAGATATCGCGTGGGAAAAATAATGATAGCCGATAGGTAGTAGTTATTTTATAAGTTAAACGTCTAAAACTATTTTACTAATATTAACAATTAGACCGAGTCGTTTTCTTTGACTAATAACACACACACATTGTTATCGAGTGTCTCATTTTAATCCAGAATGAGTAGAGTAGATATCAATATCTCAAAAACTTAGATAAGAATAAACTTAACTCTGCTTAACTCAACAACATTTTTCAGGTTTAAGGCCTATCGCTTTGCGTAAAACGCAATAAGGTTAATTCTAAAATAACAACGATAATGAAAATAAAACACATTTTAACGGTTTAAAACGCGAAAAATATTTAGTTAACTTAATTTTAAATTATTTTAGGAACGGCCCGACGCCTCCGGCGTTCGTAGCTAAAATAACTTTAAATTATATAACTCATTTTGAAGCCGTTTTAATGTGTACTACTCGCGTAAACTACAGACCGTTGTTAACGACGTAATTTGCTTTTTTTACTGGCATAGAGCTGATTAAGAGTCCAAAGAAAATGAAATCTTAAAAATGTGTTTGTAACTAGTAACTGCGTAAAAAAATTTTAATGCCCTTTACTTTCAACAGGTTTCCACTGATATAAGAGGGATGCTTTATTAACTCAGGATCGAGAAATTTAAAATACTAACTAACATTTCTTCCACCTGGGATTCGAATCCACGACCCCAATGTGCGTACCACTAATACCACTATCGAGCACTAATTACTATAGACAATATTAAAAATAGTTCTGATAACTAAATTAAAAGTCCTTTTGCGTTGTATTGTCTACGACATCGTCGCGTTATCCATTAAATGTCTCTTTAAAAACATTCCTTTGTTTTTCGCAAACTAATTAGCGATCCATAAAGTTGAGCGTGTTCATAGGAAACGCAGATAAGTAGTGGGATTTTTCGAGAAATTCTATTTGCAATACGTTCAATGAACAAGTAATATCCTTCAGTGGCTATGAATCTCACCTTAATTAGTAGTAAGCAGATATAAATACTGTCTACTGTTTACTCATGTTTGCACATTTAAATAAAACACTTTAACGGTTCAAAAACGCGATATATTAGTTAAACTTATTTGAAAATGATTTTTAACTTCGCCCCGACGTTTCGGATGCTTTGCAGCAGCCGTGGTCACGTGTCTCCCCGTTCTAAACCGTTAAAGTATTTTATTAAAATAAGTAAGTAGATATTCCTGGAAACTCTCGAGTGCGTCATCATATCATTTTCTTCTATAACATAGGCTCGTTGGTCTAACGATAGCGATGTATTCCTAATTAACAGGTCGTGGGTTCGATTTCCACCTAGTCTAAAAAGTTTCTAGTTAATTTATAAATTTTCTGAAACATTTTGGACTTGACCTTGATATCTGGATATTAAATGACACAGATGAAAGAACAGCCTAATCGTGTTTCAGCAAAAATAGGACGACAGCGCATTTTGCTGATATGTTATAAGGCTATATTTGTTGTGCGCTTGTTTGTTTTCCACTATTATAAAAATTGTATTCATATTCTGAAACATCCAACGAATTTGAAACATGAGACGGCAGCAAACCCGAATGAATGAAGTAAAAACAATACACAACGTGTAAATTTAACTCCACAATATTGTTCATGAAAATGTGATTAACTATTATCAACAATATTGAATAAAATCATTGTTCCTTTTAACACGAATATTATAACAGTGTAACACGAGTATTTAAATTTCGATAGATCAATTATCTATTCGATATTTACCACCAAATAAATGACATTAGGCTGTCAAATACTATCTATAGTTTACGCGAGTACACATTTAAATAAAACACTTTAACGGTTTAGAACGCGATATATTAATGAAACTTATTTGAAAATTATTTTTTTCTTCGGCCCGACATTTCGGTCGGTTCGACCTTCCCGTGACCACGGCTGCTGCAAAGCATCCGAAACGTTAGGCCGAGTTAAAAATAATTTTCAAATAAGTTTAACTAATATATCCCGTTTTAAACCGTTAAAGTGTTTTATTTAAATTAGGCTGTCATGTTCACTTAACAAAGAATGCATAAGTCAAACATTAGTTATTATTTTAAATGCAAATGAACATGCCACTTTTATCGATCGTCCTGAAACGGCGGCTAATTCAAGGGCAATATGCTTTTATAGGTTCTGTTTTACCAGTTCAGTGCCTGGCTCCACAGAGACCGAGTCGAAGTCTATTTTTTTTTAATATTTTTCCTCTTATAACTGGCCAGTCTCAAGATGTCTCTGTAATTCTATAACAACGTAAGATTTAAAATTTTATAAAACTCACACAAGAAACGTGGTGTTTATTAAAAAGGTACCAAAACAAATAATAGTCGTGCGCAATCGTTTGTGTCGTAAAAGTTATGTTCTAAAGTTTAAATATAATCAATACTCTAAACCCCACTTTTATTTTTCCTTTAAGAACGAGGCACAGCTTTTTTTTTAATTCTGTCTACGACAATAAAGCGAAGGCGTGAATTTATTTTTGATTTTAACTGCTGTAAATATAGAAAATAAAGCTTTCATATCATTTGTATCTACGTTCGAATGGTATTAAATAACTTGTGTCTTGATATTGTAACGAAATTATATTGTCATATCATAGTTATGTTTTACGAATTTCGTCATCTTTTCTACGTTTATTGCATTAAGCAAAGCACTACATAGCTATAGTTTCTCCAAAGCCAAAATAGGCCAACGACACAATACTTAAATGTCGTATGGGTCGGTGTTGACTTCTAGAAAGTGAGCCCCGTGCTTTTCTGGTCTCTGTCAGAAGAGAGTATATCTTTTTACCCAAATATTAAAAAGCTTACATGCCCCTTAAGCTTTACGGTTGGTGGGAATCGTGTAGTGCTTCTGAAGATCACATATACAGACAAACAACATTGATTTAATGTTTAAAATTCTGTAGCTCTTTCTATATCCATCAGCACTCAGTATGATTTTGGTGATTGTAACAAATATGCGGACAAACTATATCTATAGTTAATTAAACTATATTTTTTGGTTCAGATGTCTGGCGGTTTATCTGGATCTGGCTCCGTCGGCCCAAGGGAAGATGATCGTCATGTGAAGTTCGATGGTGAAGAAGAGGAACCGAAACCTGATCCCATAGACGATGAACGACGTGCTCAAAGACATAAGTAAGCACTTGTTTATAATTTACTTTTTCATATATATTTATATCGATCAAGTTTTGACCAGAGTCCCTTCCATTTTAAATAACTTGCAAATGCAATTATATATTAGAATGAGATAAGCGATAACATGCAAATGTGGTTTTACATGTGGCCTTGTATTTATAAGTATGTTTATGTGTGTGTTTCAAAGTGACTAATGGTGAAGTTTTGCGATGATTTAGCTGGAATCCTTTATAAAATCCTCCAGCTTACACTTTTTAACCATTTACTAGCTAACTCTAGCTTCTTCTCTTTTTTTTAATATCTTCAAAAATAAAAGTACGTTTTTTTTATTTAAAAAATTCCGCCCTCTAACGAAAAGCAACCCGCACTGATATCATATTGATTTCGTAATCGGTGGAAATCGTGTTATTATGTCATTGAAACTTTTATTCGTGTGCTGCGATCTTTGAACTGTGCGAGCTCGATAGATAAAGTGTATAGGTCGAAAGACATTTTTGTTGCTGTTTACCTGTGCACCTATTGTGAGGATGTGTTTGACCGATGTAAAATTAAAGATCATTTTGTATGAATACTGAAACGTGGGGAAAACAGCAGCAGACATTGATTTGCTAACATATGTACAGATAATCGTAATCTTTCTTCTCCAGAACCATTATATACAGTTAAAAAATCAATATATAAAGAGTAATAAAAAAATTTAGACATGGGCACGACTTGAACCGGCATCCACAACGTACCGCGCTGTTGCTCTAACCAATTGCGCTAATCGTCACCGTTAAATTTTTACAAGCTATCGATACATGCACCTCTCGCGCAATCTAATATAGTATTGTTTTCAATCTAAAATCTATTTTTAATTAAACAATAATAATTAAACTCTTATCAACATATTCACATGTAGAACATACTTAAAATAATATATACAAATCAAATAGAATTGTGTAAATGCGGCTTTATCCCGTATCATGATTTTGTCCTTTGCACGTAGAACGAAAAACCTAAATTATTAAAGAAGTAAAAGTCATTATGGAAAATAAAAATATGCAATAAATGAGCATTTAAAAAATTTAACACTAACACACGTAAAACCTAGAGTACTCAATCTATACTAATTTCTAAAGCTTTGTTTATTTGATCGCTCTAATCTCAGGAACTACTGGTACGAATTGAAAAATATTTTTGTGTTAGTTAGAACAAAATATCGAGGAAGACTATAAAACATTGCAATATGACTTTTAGGAACGCAGAAGCAACGGAAAATGTGAAGAAAACGGTTCAAGATACCCAAAAAATATGTATGAGAGAATGATTCCTCTCAAAATGGTAAAAAAAAATGTGAGCGACAGTATATGTCTATCTATACAGATTAACTCGCAAGAACGACGGGTAAGAGCTTAACGTTAAGAGTTGAACAGTAGGTTCGCAAAAACAAATTTTGATGCCAAAAATAACTATTCCACGCAGACGAAGTCGCTGACATACCTAGCGTATATGCAATGCCATCATGAGAAATATATACAATTTCAATCCACTTTAAAAAACCGTTCACGATCTCTGACTTCAGAAATGTTTACGACGCCTCACTTTTCCCTTCAACCAGTGCCAATTGATATACATATACAAATAGCTGGCAATTGGTTAATTATTACGTGGGAAAGTTGGCGAGCTCGTCTCCAAAGTACGTTGTTACGGAAGTCTCTATGCATTAGCCGAACGACAGAAATAGAGTAACAGCATCCCGTGATATTGGCATTGTCCCGAGTCCGGTCGCATAGTCTTGAACTCGTCGTTTTTTTTTGTATTATCGAAAAACAGCTAAGAGATGCGGTACTGCGCCCTTGGGTTCGAACGGTATTTTTGTGGTTCGAGAAATGCCTGTTACGTACAGCCGAGCCTCAGATGTTTTGCATCAACGGTGAGTGGGATAATGAACACATAGTTGTGCGGAGACAGTTAGTGATTATGAAACAGTCAAATAAGGAACATATTCCAGCCCACGAGCGGATAGTGCACTAATAAAACATATAGATAAGTTAAACTTATTTGAAAACTATTGTAACTACGGCCCGACGTTTCGGATGCTTTGCAGCCGCCGTTTTAAAACTCGGTTTAAAACTTTTTTTTTATGTGTAAACAACAGACATTATTTAACGTTAATCTTATTATTAATTTTTATATAAATATACTAGCTGATCCGGCAAACGTTGTTTCGCCATATAAATAATTTCATCTATTAAATTGTAGCTTATATGACACGTTTGTCGGTTTACAATAGCAGTGCCATCTATCGATTACTTACTCAATCCATTGTAACTGTCAATTATTTATAGACAAATAATTTGGAATAAAATAAAATTGCGACTATAATTATGATCTAAACTATCCTATGTCTCAAGTAGGACCAGACTCCTCACGGTATGCCAATTAAATTTAAAATCGGTTCAGTAGTTCAGGAGTCCATAGCGGGCAAACATCGTGACAGGTGATTTTTATACATAAAGAATATATATATATATATATATATATACTGAAAATAACTGTAAAGCGAACTCGAAGATCGCTTATCAAATATAGCCTTGAATTCATTAGGGTTCCGTAGCAAAGGGGTAAAACGTCTACTATACGTCCCACTGTTCGTATGTTGCATGGTCCATTAGACGACACCACAGTTTAAATTCAAACATCATTTATTCGCGTACGTAGGTAGTGTGGAACTAACTAGAAGAACTGGGCACTCCTTTCACAGCCAAGTTTTGTACTATATATATATTTTTTTAATGTCAAAGACAAAAATTATATGCTTCTAAACATAAACAAAGCAAAAAGTTGTTTTTGACTGATTAGAGCGTGGTAAACAGATTATTCGCTTGACTGGAGATTGAGCTGTTGGATCGTTCCGGCCACCTGCCATAGTCGCGGTTATTGCATCCGTCCTTGCTTATGGTGACGGGTCAAGAAGATTGTTTTTATGATAGAGCAGGACCGACAAGCACGCAGTTCACTTGATGGAACCCCAGGCATATAACATCTCACCAAGACGCGCCGTTGACCTATTTTTGCCTAGGGTATTCCGATTTATTGAGATATAATTCACATACCGATAAACGCGATTACATTTCACGCCTTTGGACGAAATTTCAATAATATCAACCATTTAATATCCATCTATCCGGACGAAATCCAATATGTTGCAGAGGTATCCAAATATTAATACTAAATGGGCCGACAGCGCATCTTGTTATAGGCTATACATACCCATATATATACCCTTGCTTGTCTGTCGTCGTCTTGATACATGCAAAAACATCATATTGGTAAAAATTGATTTTTCTAATCATAAATAAAATCTATTTCTCGTTTGTTTCGTTATAACTACCTACATTAGTTTACAGTGCCTATACATCTAAAATACCAGAGTATAAACTTAAAGATTAACAACACACTTTAACGGCTTATAACGCGATATATATTAGTTAAACTTATTTGAAAATTATTTTAACTACGGCCCGACGTTTCGGATGCTTTGCAGCAGCCGTGGTCACGGGGAGAATTTTCAAATAAGTTTCACAAATATATATCGCTATTAAACCGTTAGTCTTTTATTTAAATGTGTACTACTCGCGTAAACTACAGACTACACAGTTAAAAAATACGTAAATTGATTTCATACAATATGGATTACCGATTCGATAGTGGCGCATTCACTTAATTGATTTGGAGTGACATTTATGACGTCACGAATCGCATTTTTGGCAGATTGCACGCGAATCCTTTCTACTGTGCATAACAAATGACAAATTAATGTACATTGAAGTATTAACGGTTTGAAATGCAAAATATATTCCTCAACTTATTTTAAATTTAAATTGTACAGTAATCGCGTAGGGTAAACATAATACAATGGGCAAGTAATTTACATAAATAATTTTTAGAAGTAACTAAAACCTCAAAATTATTTCTTTCTCTATTTGTTTTGTATGATATTTTTAAATTTGATCATAATTATTTTTTTGCTTTTGGTATTAGTTTTGTGTTAATTATTATTTTGGGTTTCGTTATCTTCGGCTTCTTCGTCTGCGGGCGGTAGTTCGTGACTGAGAATTTTCCATCTACCAGCATTTTAATATCCACATCTCCAGACGAAGTCCAACGTGTTTCAAAAAAAATATATATTGATTAGAAAAAAAATGTTTTGGGGATAGCACCTACGACCCATTATTTATTATTTTATTAGCCATACAACCATTACATCAACGACCCCGTCAAAGGTTTTCACACAAATTAAACCTGACAGACCGCAGCTAAGCTGTGTTTGTTTATCTTCACGTGTACAGTCGATTGTTTTGAACGGTTAATGATAATTTTTCTTGACAGTTTCAACGTAACCTAGAAGAACACCTAATTATCTTTACTACTCTCTGTAGTTTACACGAGCACATTTCAATAAAACACTTCAACGGTTTAAAACGCGATATATATAGTAAAGTTATTTGATAATTATTTCAACTACGGCCCAACTTTTCCCCGTGACCACGGCTGCATCCGAAATGTCGGACCGTTAAAATAATTTCCAAATAAGTTTACTAATACATATATATCATGGTTTGAACCGTTAGTGTTTTATTTAAATTTTGTAAATGTTTACTTTCGTTTGCAATTAATTAGATAACAGTTATCAGAATTCCCGCCCAATTGTGTATTTTACCGATCTTTCTAAAAACTGACCTCGTATTGTTTTACTTGGCAACGAATTCGAAATTATAGTATAAAAATAGATAAACCGTAGTGTAAACTATTTTAAGTTAGTCAAATACGTATTACTTTGTGTGTTTTTTTTATGTTTCATATTATATTTTGTTAGGTGGAAAAAAGGGACAAACTCAACAATACGACAACATTCGAATCGTTCCTTATAAAAAATATCTTAATCTAAATAACACGTGTCTTGGCAACTCAAAAGCACCTTCATCGTAGTGACTAAATAAATCGCGTCAACTCGTCTGTCTGTTTGTTTTTACGTAGAAAACTACTGGATTATTTTAATAAGGTTTATAATAATTACATAAATCGCTTTCATATTACAAATATTAAATTTTTCACTTAGTTATCAAAATCACAAACTAAAAATGTTCCCTAAATAATGTCTGTAGTTTACGCGAGTAGTACACATTTAAATAAAACACCGTTAACTGTTTAAACAACGCTAAATACCAACTACGACGGAACGGATGGTGCCAGCGTAGCAGTTTTTACTTAGACATTAGAGACACCATCTTTCGTATCCCCGTGATCACGGCTGCAAAGCATTCGAAACGTCGCGCCTTCGTTAAAGTAATTTGTAATTAAGGTTAACTAATACATTTCGCGTTTTAAACCGTTGAAAGTGTTTTATTTTAATTCTGGCAAGCTTATCATACCACAGACATCTATAATCATATCATAGACATATAAATGAGGTTTCTAATTATTCCTAGAATTGTCTCCACTATAATTTTCTACGTATGTAGTGATTGCGTTGCGTAGATATATTAATGTAGTAATGAATCGTGATGTCCGCAAGTACTCGTAGGCGATCTCCATTTACACTCGGCTCGAGGATATTATTACCTTGAACATGATTTCTTACATATATTATGTAATAAGACATAATGTAATATATTTCCTACTGGAAAGGCATTTTCAAATGTATGGGTGTAATTTTTAAAATATCAATCACGAGTGTCATCCCTTCACACTTCCAACTTTTAAACTCCAAAACAACTGCCAGTTTTTGCCGGGCTGGTTGGTATCATGGTAGCAATGTAGGTATGGCTAGTAATCAAGGGGTGCGATCCGCACCGAGTACAATATTGTTCTAATCAATTTATCATTTTTCTGAAACATAATGGACTTGGTCCGTGTCGCGAATCAGCGTCAACAGAAGGAATCGTAAAGTTCAATCGAGTTTCGTTTATGGATTTCTGAATATTCAAAGACAAAAAAGGTCGATAGCACATCTTACTTTTATATTACAACACCCATCATCAAGTGATTTGGTTCACTTGATGATAGGTGATGACGCTCTTCATCTATCGTAAAATGAGAAAGAATTCTATTTATTAAATTTTCTTATCTGAAAACAAAGAAAACACTGATATATCATTTTGTATCTGCGCTTGCTTTGGAGCGGAGCCAAGTAATATTATTACAATAAAACACATTGGGCATCGATTGACAGTCTATTAAAATCTTATTAAATAAATGGATTCGTAGTATCTTAAATTATATAAATATAAGCAGGTCTGCACGTAATTAATTAGTTTAAATAAAACGTGTTTAATTTTTTAAAACGCGAAATATATGAGTTGACTTATTTTTATATTATACGTCACGACGTTTTGTTAACTAATATATTTTCCTTTAAAGCCGTTAAAAGCGTAAAATTTTTACTTTTTGAATTTTGAACGTTGAATTAAAGTCTATACTAAACCAATTAGTTTACAATTATACCAGTACAATGGGTGACGATGTTAAAACTGCCTTTTCTAGCCCAGGAGTGATCGAAGCGGAAATATAATTATCTGTCCAGACTTGAGAGTAATGAAATCAAATAAGATATCGATCGATAGCTTATTGAAATTCTTTATTTAGGATTATTATTTCGCTAACACAGTTTATATTTAAAAGTATTGAGCAAAATGATTTATTATTAATATTATTGATTAGTCACTGAGGATAGAAAATACTATTTACAATAATCCAAACGAATGTAAAACAGTAATAAAACAGTTTCAACGGTTCAGACGTGGTTTAAATTAACTACGGCCCGACGTTTCGAATGCTTTGCTCGCACATGACCACGGCTGCTTCGACGTCAAACCGTAGTAATTAATAAGGTTTCCTCGGAATCAAAATTCAACTTCACGTCAGTTAAAAACTAAAGACTCTAAATTCACAAATCAAGCGCGTAGAAGGAACGAGAAGAACTGGCAATAAACTCGCCGTCACTTTATCGTTCATCGCCAAGTTCCACGTACTTTAAACCCCGAGCTTTTATATCGTTTAAACATTGATTAACGACGTAATGACCCGTACCAAGCAGTATTGTTTTACATACGATTTGAACTTATTCTCCTGTCTGTGTCGTATTTTTTATCAATTGATAATCGATGTTTATTAATATAGTAATAACTTTCACGCATTTTTTTCGCAGTCGGCACCTACACCCGCATAAAACCCGCAAGTACTCCCTTCAAGAGGGCGCGAGAGGTGGTGGGCTATTACCAAGTTTGTCTATCGCCGAACGAAGGATTCTAACAGCCGCTGCCGAGGAAAGTCTACCAGAAGCCGACCTAGACGATCTACGAAGCCATCGCAGCGACGACCCGAGAGCTTTGCGCCGGCACAAAATACAACCCAGGGTAAGTTATAGGTATAGGTTTATTTCAATTACTCTGCATTGAAAATTTTATGATAACACAAGCCAACGAACTTCGTTAGTTGCTAAAACGTAAGTCCTTTCGGGCAGTCATACCTCAATAGATGTAAAATTGAAAGTAAACTTACGTCGATTAAACTAAGAACTTAAACAAAGAACAGTTCTTCCATTCGTTTATAAAATACTAGCTGTGCCCGCGACTTAATCTTTAAAGATAGATACTGTCGCAGATCTTTAGATCATTTAATGAGGAATCATCCTTTAATACTCTATATTTTTGGGTAACTTGAACCGTTTTTGCAGCGGTCGCAACGGAAACCCTCAAAGATTATTCCCAGTTCTTCCACGTTTGCCATGATAGCTGGATATCTAACCAAAAAAAATTCAATTCGAACCAAATAGTTCCTGAGATTAGCGTGCTCAAACAACCACTTTTACTCTTCAGCTTAGACTAGTTATATTAACGCACATCATAGAATAATTGGAGATCTGACAGAATAACATTTTTAGAAATTGATGCGCTAGAGACGAAGCATCAGAAGTTGCCCGAGATTGATTTATCACCAACAAAGAACATATCTTATATTCTGCAATATGTCTGCAATTTGTTAAATATTGCAAGGTGATATGCCATGAATCACTATTGTTCTACTTGTTGTTAGTATACAAACAAAACAATGCTTATAATAGATGTCAAAATAGATAGACTATTATTATTGTTTTTAAATGTGTTATCTTTGCGTACTAAATTTAAATTGTCCAGGTTTCGACCATCCACGTCAGCAGGAAAGATGGCGGAGACAAAGTTCACAACATCCTCTCCGACGCGGCATACAAGAAAATGTACGATCATAGCCCACACTCGGTAAGGAAACAGTCTCGTTGAGTACTATCTGAAACAATCCGATTATTATAAATTCTTTCCGTATCAACTGGTAGCGATACTGATAAAGAATGTCAAATCACAAGATAGAAGTAGTTTTTATAAAAAGGATTTACGAGGAAGTGATTTTGCAGTCAAGCTCGATATGTCTGTTACAAAGGTCTTCGTACAACTCGACGAGTTGTTGGCGACCGAGGACGGTGATGCCGAATGGAAGGAGACAGCTCGCTGGATCAAGTATGAGGAGGACGTGGAAGAAGGGTCGGCGAGGTGGGGAAAGCCCCATGTTGCATCGCTTTCGTTTCACTCCCTGCTGAATTTGCGACGATGCCTGGAAACCGGTGTTGTGCTGCTGGACCTCGAAGAGAAGGACCTTCCGGGGGTAGCATACAGGTACAGTGGAATAATACGAAGGTTAAACTTTCTACCAAGATCCAGCTAAAAGTTTTGTCCTAGTCTATTGTCTATTTGAGCAAATTGAGCATTTTTTCTTATTTAGGGTGGTCGAGAGTATGGTGACAGAAGGTTTGATAGAAGAGGACGATAAACCAGTGGTGATGCGTTCGCTGCTTCTACGCCATAAGCATGTCCACGACGAGAGATTTAGGTTTTCAATCAGTGGAAGAAAACAGTCCTCGTACACAAGTTTGCAGGTAACTTCTTCTTCATATATTTATTTATCTTACAAATTTCAATGTCTTGGTGTGAACACAACACTGAATTCAAGACACATTTTATTTAACTTATTATTATATTATTAAATTAGTTATCACTATGTACTTTATGTGACTGTAAATATTTCACAAGCTCACTCCATGTATTGTCTTTTTGTCTTTAAAGTAAGTTTGAAAGTTTACATATTAATAAGTCATAAAAAGTTGCAATAATAGTTAGTCAAAAGTTAATAAGACACTTTTAAACTTTAATCGCGAAAGCTCGAATAGTGATTTAAAATAAATAAACTAAGATTCACTTTTATACTGTTCAAAGTTTGTACTTGCATACACTAAAGACGAGACTTAGATCTTAATTTTCCACGGGAAAACAAAGACACGTGAAACGTAAGCTTTTTTTTGGACGCTTTGAAAAGATTAAGGCGAACGATATTTTTGCGAGAATTTAAATGTACTTAGCATATATAATTCGATTTTAAGGTACATGAAATCTGCATATATTACAGTCCTATAACACTATTTTACGTACTGATAATCTGTTACATTTTTTCTATATATTGATACAAATTGGTGGATGTTATGTTTATATAACTGGCATATAACATTGTTCTTAATTATCACAGTCATAAACATATACAACCAGGCCTACAAATGATTTTAAGGAATTTGTATATTTTCGCTGTTTTCACGCTCTATTTAAATTAATGTTTGTGCGAATTTAGTGCAAATTACACGTGCCATACAATCAAATGAATTCAAGTCAAGTTACGATAAGTGACCTAATCGCTTATCGTAACCAACGTCGCTTATTGCCAATTGATACATTCTAGAGACCAGCTCATTTCCAAAGCCCCAATAAATACGTTTTATAGAGTCAAATAAATAATTAATTAAAATTGTATTATTAATCTTTAGGTGCAATAGAACCAAAAAATTAACGCAAGCGATTCTTTTAATTTTAACATTTGTTCTAGGATCTTACATTTTGTCTCAAAAACATTGAGGCAACATGTAAGATCCTAGAGCTTTGATAAACTCTACACTATAGAAAACAAAGGAAAGGGTAACGGAAAAAAGTTAACTTTGTTACTTAATTATTGATTGGTCTACGAAGTCTACATATTCAAATAAATTAACAAGCGTATTACTTATACTAAAATTATAAAATAATACTTATATTTTATACACTTAACATAACAATTGTCAAGCTTTACAAAAATCTATTTTGTTATTATAGATAATTATTGATTAAAGGTATAGATTTAGATATAGTTCATAATGCTTTGTTTTAAATAACACACACGACATCCGAAATGTATAATCTTTACCCTAATTCAAAACAACAAATAAAATATGTGTGAAATCCCGTTTCCCCCTTGTTGGGCATGCGGCGAACACATTTCTGTGCCCGTTTCACTGATCGAAAGATTTTTTTTGTTTCCCTGGGATTCGAACCCAGAACCTCTCGCGCGTAACGCAATGCTAAGCAATACGTAACCATTTGACTAGAGAGGCGGTCAAATAAAATATAAGTAATATAACGACGTATGTCGCCAGAAATCTTGTTTATTAAAAACCGTTAGGTATGTTTATGAATTTTGAAGTGTCCGTGAGAACTTTCTGATCAACTCAGGCCTTATCATACACTGTAATAGTTTTCTATCACTGTTGATTCTTTTGCGGATTATGTATGGCAGTTAAATATTGACATTATACACACAATTAGTAAATATCTTTAGTGTCCACGTTAATTGTTTATAATTCTATCGTACATGACTGCAGCGGCCGGTAATGCCTACTTGTATTTTTTGAAATAATTCTCGGAAATGAAAACTAAGTACAGTTGAGCGATTATCCGAACGTCGCTTATCCGAACAGTAGTAACGCGCGGTCCCCCGCCCGACCCAAATGATTGATATGCCGACCACACCGCTAGCGACACATCAACTACAAGTTCAGATAATGAAGATGAAAACGTAGTGAGTGCTTCTAAAGCATTTACTGGCTTAGAAGTCTTGCGTTGGTTTGAAACACAGGCTGAAAGCGTTTAGTATCAAATATCTGTTCTTAAAAAAGTACGTGGTCTAACCGCTCGTAAGCGGCTAGGCATGCTTCGGCAGACGATAATTCAAGATTTTTTAAGTGTTAATGTACCAAGTACACACAAAAAAAATGCTGATATGTAAAAACATATCTGAACCTTTTTGTTTATTTCATATTTGTCATTATGGATATACGTAAATATGTATGCCTGAATCAATATACATATAGGTAGTTCAATTATCCGAAAATACCGGTTTTCTGAACACCCACGTCGCCTATTTAATTCGGATACTACTACTGTAGTACAATTCAAAACTTTAAAAATAACATAATTGATAAATAAGAATAGTTTTTATTACTAAACAACTTTCTATGTGCAAGCCAGTTCGAAATTTAAATGAAACCTTTGATAAGTTACCTCTTCGGTCGCCATGTTGCGAAATAGATCGTTCCATTTTTAAATTACACAACAAATATGGTTCTACATAGTAATTTATTTGGCCGCTAATCACGACACATTTTTATACAACTATAGCCGGCCGCTGCTCGACCAGTACAGCCAGGTCGATTTATCGTGAAGAAAGCATATTTAAGAAAAGTATATAATAATAATAAATTACATAAAATTATTACAATGTGTCATAAAGAAACAGATTTAACGACACTTTTATCAGGAACAAAATCTTATCCGTCGTTTCGTACAAGATAAAATAAAATATCAAGTACTCGCTATTTCCCTGTTAAAAAAAAATGTTCAAAACATTGATAATGTGTAATGTTATCGATTTTATTGTCAGCTTTTCTTATCAAAGATTAAGGTGATATATATTATGCGTGGATTAGGTTTTTAGGAACGAAGCTCAAAGGATTTATAGCCAGCTGGGGTTTTTTTATGATTAAATATCTGGACCATTTCAGTAGGCCGAACGTTATTTTTCCATTGAGATAATCTTTTACTGAAAACAACACACGATCGTATCGTAAGGGATAATCTGTAATTAGAAATAATAATTTACTGTTACTAGAACAGTAAATTATAGTTTTCCTCGTGCGGTATGGGCGAGTTTCTGTGCCCGTGTTACTGATACTGATAGGTTCTTTTACAGGCAAGTAGTTGATCGGACTACTGTGCCCTGCCTCTCAGTCTCCCAGGATTCGAACACTGAAGATTCCACGGTTAATGCGATGTTTGATATTAGGTTTAACCATTTGGCTACATAGGTGGTCTAATAATACTAGTTATGACAACGTAATTCTTTTATCGATGCTCGAAAATTGTGTCTTCACAAGATCTACATTAAAATAGTGACAGTCGGGTCGTGATGATCTCAAATCTGAGAAATCGAAGGGAACTTTAAAAATCGCATGAACGAATATTGCGTCTGTAAATGTGTTCATTCAGATCTTTAAAGCACTACAATTTCACAAAGATTATTACACTCACAAATTACTTTGTACACAGTATTAGGCATATAAAACATATAATAATAAAACAATTTTAGTAATAGAGAGTCAAGAATCGGTTTCGACACCTATTAGTCACTTTTAAATGTACCTAAGTACTGGCTTACAAAATACTACTAAATGAAAGCAACTTATACAGTGTCAGTTTTTGGAAAGATTAGAACGATAATGTATGTACATAGTTACTGTCTTACTTGCTACGAAACACCTCTATAGTACTGGTAAATGCATTGTGTCTGTAAGACTATAACATAACAGCGTAGGTAGGTACAACATACAATATAAAAGTTACAGAAAAGAAGATATACAGTTTCTGCAATGTTAAAATTATCAATAATAAATAATTTCTCATCTACAAAAAAAACAAGGAACGCTACCAAATGACACATCACAGCATTTATTTGTAGTAAAAATGGTAATATATGACAAGTGTGACATGCCGATGTTATGCAGTCGCTGTGGCTAGACGACGGTGCCCTGGGTCAGCCAGGACCTGGTGGGATGCGAATCCGGTGCTCCTTATGCTCAACAACCGGATCCTGCAGACGACACAGCGCCCATCTTATCGTACGGAACACACCTGTGCGCTTGAGCCCTTGTATATGGCCATGTAGCGGCAGTTTAGTCTCATCTCATATCAAGTGATATTCTGATTGTCGTACGTTGACTAAATTCTATTACATGAACAAAAAATAATAAAGAGCCCATACTCTATTAAAATAGCTCTATTTACAACCTGTCCTTTACTATTTTGGATTGTATTTAAAATTACTAAATACAATAACTTTACTAAATAAATATATAAAAGAAAGCAGATATCCTCAAATTCCAAACCGCCTCTCCGATTTGACTTTTCGTGTAGTCAATGTTAGCTTATTATTCTTTTGAATGTGAAATTTTCAGCGCATCTTTACCCTTGAAATTCAATAAGATATATATATAAGATATTTAGTGAACGCACGACAGCACGAGTTTGCCAAATGTTTTTATTTTTTTATCCACTAGAGCAGCTATTGTTTTTCACCGTTTGCGTCAAGAGTCAAATCATTTTTAGCGAGATTGACAGTAGAGGGCCATCAATCATCTTTGCTTAGATATGGTTCTCATACAACGAATTCTCATTTTAGAATGCACGTTGTAAATAATATGACCAGCGATATCACGTAGATATAACCTTTTTGATTTAAAATCATTGCAAGTGGTTTCTTCATCTGCGTGTTTTTTTATGTTTAGCGTGAATTTAAATAGATATACCTATGACGGTACTGAGATTCGAATATACAACAAAAGCTAGGTTAGTCAATTAATTAGCCTGTTAATATCAGAATCTCGGCAGAACTGAGTTCTAATATTAACAGAGCGAAATTAATTTGACTAAAGACGTATACGATATGAGCCTTTCCAAACAATTTGCAATATGCAATATGCTTTTGAGAAATTAGATACATTCTACAGTCAATTAATTTGATGCTTGCAGAATCTATCCGATCAAAAGCGCCGTCAGAGTTCACACGCGATAGCGGATCGCTTGGAAGCTCGTAAAAAGTCCTCAGCAGCCGGTCTAGACCCGCGCGAAGTGGAGTACCTTGCAACAGGCACCGTCGGCTCGCAAGATGAACTCAGGCGAACGCACAACGACTCCATTATGAAAAGAATCCCAGACGACGCCGAAGCGACGACGGTTCTCGTCGGGGCTGTGGGTTTCTTGGACCAGCCGACCATCGCCTTCGTCAGACTTGCTCAAGGCATCCTTATGCCGTCGATCACGGAAGTGCCGATCCCAGTCAGATTCATGTTCATCCTACTGGGGCCGACGACAGCTGATCTAGATTATCATGAAGTGGGTCGCTCGATTTCCACACTCATGTCGAACCCGTCATTCCATTCTATTGCGTACAAAGCGGACGACCGTCGAGAACTGCTATCCGCTATCAACGAATTCTTAGATGACTCTATCGTTCTCCCGCCTGGGGATTGGGAGCGTCAAGCTCTCCTCCCCTTTGAAGAGCTGCGGGCAAAGAGTGAAATGATTCGCCGTCGTAAGCGCGACGCGTTAGAAAGGAAACGTGCTGCCACCAAAGATACAGAGGCACCAATTGATGAGAAGAAAGCTCTATTGATCGCGGAAAGCGGAGGTCCACCGGACAAGGAACCGGATGATCCATTGTCCAAATCTGGACGTCTATTTGGAGGTAAAAAGGACGTGCTCGTTGATCTAATGGTAGCAATGTAACGTACATATAATAACAGTATAAAAATATAATAATCAGCGATGTGTGGGTTCGAACCCTACCGGGTCCGACATATTTATAATCAATATGTATTTTTTCCGAATCTTGCTTGACTTCGTTTGCAAACCTGTATAGTAAAATTAGTCCCGATAAATTGCTATGACAACGTATTGACGGGTGAAAAGGCTGTGAAGTTTAATCTCGTTGAGGTTTCAAAATTCACTTCTCATAAAGTCACTCTTTAACAAAAATAACTAAATTCTGTATTAATACATTTGTATATAGTATGTTAGTGTAGCTGCATTGTCGAGTTAAGTGTGCACATGTTCCCTTAAATATTATACAAGAGAGAAACATTTATTTGTCCACTACTTCATTTTAACTTAAATTTATTCTAGGCGTGATACGTGACATGAAGAGGCGGTATCCCCATTACATGTCTGACTTCCGAGACGCTCTGAACGGTCAATGCGCGGCCGCTACAATATTCATGTACTTCGCTGCCCTATCATCGGCCATCACCTTCGGAGGCTTACTTGCCGAGAAGACATATAACACAATCGGAATATCGGAAACATTGGTACGTTATGACTTTACAATATCATTTTAAACAATTACATAACGCCATATCAATCGATAAAGACGTTTTTCCTTAGATAAGAAATTTTGCGTACTTTTCTCTTATCACATCGATTTATGGCGTCACGTGTTTTAAATTTTATGGAACATTTGATTTTACAATTTAATAATTGCTACTGAAAGATGTATAAAAGACTCGTAGTGTATTTTTTTGTAACTTTGTAACAGACTACAACAAATATGGCCGATTTCAAACCATAGATAAATAGAAGTAGGGATGCCCTTTTATAGAGTGTAGTCGTTGCTACAGTTGATGCAGGGTTAACGAAATAACCAATATATAAAATAGACAAACGAATATAGGACCAAACGATTTTAATATTCAAAATTACTTTTTTGCAGGTTTTTACATGTATTGGTGGAGTGTTTTTCGCTTTGGTAGCTGGCCAACCGATGATGATAACAGGCGCAACAGGACCCCTTCTCTTACTAGACGAGTCTTTGGCTAAGTTCTGTCACTCTTACGGTTTTGACTTCTTAGCAGCCAGGATGTATTGTGGCATATGGATGATAATAATTGCAATACTTGTAGCGTCTCTTGAAGGAAGTGTAGCTGTCAAGAAAATAACAAGGTGAATAATGCCTTAGATAAATATTTATTATACGTATCATTCAAGAAATTATTTAGAACTATACCAATGCTGAAGAGGCCGGAGGTTTCGGCTTGAAGTGCGCAAGAAAAGTCGCGTTGCTATACGGTCTCAGTGTGAACACGCCCTTATAAAACACATACTCTGCAACTAGTCTGCCTTTACGAGATTATTCTAATGCGATAGAAAGTGGTAACATTAAATATTTACACATCTCATGAAGTGATAAATTTAAACGTCTTCTTATGATAGAGCAGGATAGACATGGCACGGAGTTGCGTTGTCGACCTATTTTGGCTTTGGATATTCGGAAATCCACAGACTGAAACCGAAATGAGATTAGGCTTCACGGCTTTTCATCCGGGAACGGTGGTCCGTGACCCGGACGGTATTTCTATATTCCTACCACACATTAAATTATGTTACAGTTATTATCAAAAACATGTTGGACCTGGTGGGGATCCAACCCATGTCCCATTGATTATTGACATTGCTATCATAAGGCCAACGAGCCTATCAAATCTTAACTAATTCTTTGATTTACATCTATTAAAAATCGCTTGAATACTTCAACACCTGTCCATACAGTACGATTATCTAATAAAGAATAGTTAACATTATTATGTCAATAGATGACAGTGAATTTGTAAAACGCACCTGAGCAAACGCTATTATTATAATACCAATAACAGAGCAAGTGCTTGAATGATACAACCGGGTACATACCTAAGAATTTTAAAAGTAACGTGTAGTAATTACTTTTTTATAGACCAAACCTGATAACCAATTTTCGAATCGTTTGATTCAAATTTGTCTAGCGGTTATGTCATTGATATGTAAAAAAAGTCTAAAGTAAGAAAAAACTACTTTTAAAATAGATTCACTTATGTTTTTATAATAGTGGACAGACAAGCGTGACTTTTACTTGTTGGAAGGTAAAATACCACATGTAATACCTTGACAAGATTTGACATTTTACAAAATATAACAGAACAGTGATTAAACTTCACGGCTTTTTGATTTGTGGACGGTGGTACCCGGACGGAATTTTCGATATTCCCACTATCCATTTAACGTACAGATTTTCAGACGTGAGCCAAAATGTTTCAGACAAATTATATACCCAATGACCTATTGATTATTAGCTATTCCTGCCATTAGACCAACCTATATCTATGTCTCTCGTTCTAAGTTATTCTATTTTTAAGATTTCGTTCACAAAATTATTTCGACCTATTCGATTCTATACTTTTCACATACAATATGTAGAGATTAGTCTTTTTCACTAATAGATTTTTTACGAACATTATAGTCTAACGTAACGCACGTCAAACGTACGCACTAGAACTTTGTTTGTTTGTTGTTATGGTTACTGTTCGTTAGTGAGTACCCGGCACAAATACTTGAATGTTAAAGCCATCTATTAAACTTATTGTACTCATTAAAGCGAATTGTTATCAATAAGTACCACTTAAATGATGATAAAATTTTCAGATTCACCGAAGATATTTTCGCATTTCTCATATCGTTAATATTCATTTCGGAGCCGATAACGAATATAATCAATTTGTACCGGATGCACCCACTGGGATACGATTACTGCGAGAAAGAGAACATCACTACTGATGCGCCTATGTTGAACTTCACTATTTCGGGTAAGTGGCGTCAAAGGTAAACACAGAATGCTAAATTTACAACTTAGACACAAACTAATGGTTAAGACAAATTTTAACGGCTGAAATACATTCGAAGCCATAATTAAAACGAATAAAAATAGGTTAACTCTAACTTTGCGGTTTAAACCGTTAAAAGTGTTCACAAACTAATAAATAAAATGCATTTTAACTGCTGCAAAGGATTCGAACTGTCGGGCCGTAGTTAAAATAATATAAGTTATTGTAAAATGTTATTTAGATAACATTGAAGTTGAATGTATGGTTCTACGACATGTATGGTTATTTCACGCTGTCGGTTTTGATTTGAAAAAAAAAGTCGATTGGACATCGTGTTCAACATGATGGACTCTGTGGGGATCGAGCCACGACCCGTTGATTATTAGTCCCACATGCTACCATTAGTCGAGCCCGGATATTTTTATATATTATATCGATTTATATATAATATTTATTTGCTTATTTTCAGACAATACAACTATGAACGCCACTGAACTGCTGCCTTCAACCTCGTATATACCACCACAGCCCAATACAGCACTCTTCTGCACGATCCTGACTTTGACCACTTTTATCATCGCCTACTACCTCCGCATCTTCCGTAATGGCAAATTCTTAGGGCGCAGTGTGAGTATATGAATAATCAGAACTTTATTTTCCCTTCCTAGATCAGTAGACAGGCTTCGGTTCGAATTTCGAATCGATCGAGGCATAGTAGTCTGATCTACTACCTTGTAAAGATGACGGTAAAACGGACACAAAAATATGGCGAATACGGGTTTTCACTCACCGAATATATAGTTTGAATTTATCATACTTTTATTTACATTGATAAAACGTAATATGTTTATTAATTGATTGGTTGTTCCAGTACGTGTCTTTATAAACAGAACGGACATTTCTGTGTCCGTTTTACAGTTCGGATTTTTAGAAATAGTTGTTCGTGCACTACCTGTCAGAAACTGTGTATTCTTTACCCGGGTTTCGAATGTAGGACCTCTCACGCTTAACGCGATGCTAGGCAGCGCGTTCAACCATTTAGATACGGAAACGGCATTTTTTATAAACCATCTGTTTATTATATAACGCAATTTAATGTAAACTCCAAAATGTAATCGCACAGTATTGTATTTTTTCAAGTCTTAGATCCAATTTTGGCCAGAAATAGACATTCTTTTTCAGTATAAAACAAATATTTATTTCTAAATCCAGGCTCGCAGGGCGCTCGGTGATTTCGGCGTGCCTATCGCTATCGTGGTCATGGTCCTAGTATCCGCATTCGTCCCCGTTTGGACCGAAAAGCTGAAAGTGCCGGACGGCCTGAGCCCCACAGCGCATCGCTCTTGGCTCGTGCCGCTGAACCCTGGCCTGGAAACCATTCCCATGTGGGCTGCCGTCGCGATGGCTCTACCGGCTCTCATGGTCTACATCATTGTCTTTATGGAGACTCATATCGCCGAGTAAGACATTTAATCTTCCACTATTTCAAGGGAAATGAGTACTCATAGTTTAAGCTTTGCGTAATTATAGTTACAAATAAAAGTAATCAGGATAGATTTAATAATTTTATATATTTAGAATAAAATAATTATAGTTTACGCGAGTAGTACACATTTAAATAAAACACTTTAACGCTTTAAAACGCGATATATTAGTTAAAATTAATTTAAGTAAGCGAAACATAAGTTCAACTAATATATCGCGTTTTAAACCGTTAAAGTGTTTTATTTAAATCTTCCTGATTGTTTTTTTCTGTGGCGAATGTTTATTTTCAACTTTGCATTGCAATTTTAGCGTTAAAATACCGTTGTACAATAAATTGTTTTGTTTGTAATATGTTTTGATTTAAAAACTTTTATTGTGAAAATTACAAAAATACAAATTAACTTATGACTCCTACAGTGTTGCAAGAAAAATATAATTTCAATAGTTATAGAGCAATATAGCTGCGACGCGCTTTATTCCAATTACAGTATATTTGTTTTTTTTTCATCCCCTGTTCGCTTATGGCCGGACGTTTGATCTAATGTCATTCTCTAATGTCTAGTTATTTATTGAACAATGTAACTTTCCAATAGGTTAATTATTGATAAGCCCGAACGGCGGCTGAAGAAAGGCAGCGGTTTCCACATGGACATAGTGGTGATGTCGTTGGTGAACGCGGTGTGCGGAATGTTTGGGGCTCCGTGGCAATGTGTCGCGACAGTGCGCTCTGTCAGCCATGTATCTGCTCTGACTGTCATGTCTACCACCCACGCTCCAGGAGACAAGCCACATATCGTCGAAGTTAAAGGTAAATAGAGCGTTCCAGTAGATTTCCTATGATATATTTGGATTAACGAATTCTATAACCGACTCTTCATTATAGCACCATGGTTAAACAAATTATACAGTACTAGATGACCAATGTTTTTTATTTAAATAAAACACTTTAACGGTTTACAACGCGATTAACTAATATATCATGTTTTAAACCGTTAAAGTGTTTTATTTACATGTGTACTACTCGTGTAAACTATAGACAGTATTTTTTTTTTTAACCAAAAAAAGTTATGACCAAGTATTTCATCCAGTCGATTGTTTTAAAAACGATTCCTGTGATTTACTAGTAAGAGATTTAGGTCACAGTGATTTTTTTGACCATTTAAAGCGGAATCACTCTTTTATACATATTTTTTCACATCGCACACAACGGAACCCCTCAAAGATGAATAATTTTCCCCGTTTCTACTGGTCGTAGGGCCTGTTATGGCCTAAAGCTTTTCTCAATAAATGGTCCAATCCAACACAATTTTTTTTTTAAATCGATCCAGTAGTTCCTGAGATTAGCGCTATCAAACCAACAAATAAACAAAGACTTTAGCTCTATAATATTAGTAAAGATTACTTTCAGGTTAAGAGGTCTAGGTTTAGAATCCCAGCGCATTATAGTTTCAATCGGAGCGGGAGAGAAATTTGATCAACTATTTATACTTTACAACTAAAAATGTGTTACTAAAGCAGAAATTAATGCTTGAATATTCCACGGCTACGGCTAAACATCGTTTTCCGCGTCATCTAGATCTGTACATATTTGTTATCTGAAACATTAATTTTCAGAACAACGTCTAACCGGTCTCCTGGTCGCCATCTTAGTCGGTGTGTCGGTATTGGCATCAGGATGGTTGCGCTTGGTACCAATGGCAGTGCTGTTCGGAGTCTTCTTGTACATGGGTATTTCAGCCCTTGGTGGGATACAGTTCTGGGACAGATGTATTTTGCTGCTAAAACCTGTGAAACATCATCCACAAATACCTTATGTGCGACGGGTGAGTGCAATTTTTTATAATAATAAATCTCTCTATTTTGCATTCACTTAGTACAATATTAGAAAGAAATAAATTTAATAACAATAAAATAATAAATACAAAAATATAAGTGATGCCAAAAGGGTCTTTGCGCTAGCATAAATTGCAGCACACTTATGCTATAAGACTGATTTTCAGCAAAACTATTTTCTTACGTTGGGCACTAAGCTTTCTTTGATGTAACTTTGGAATCGTACAAATGTGCTCCCAGGGTTCCCTTAAAAGTACCATAGTCGGTTGGTGTGATGGAGTAATGCTCGAACGCGGAGGGTGTAATGCAAACACTTCCAACGTCAAAAATGTCTGACGAGGGCGTAGATGATGCATTTATACCATCAATTGAAATAAGGCCTTCTTTGAGAGTAAAGACACTAGCTAGTTATGTTGCCAGATGAAATATCTCGCCGATTTGTTTGCTCCTAGGATCATCTATTTAACTAGCCCTGTACCTTTTGCGCAGTATAATTTCAACGCAAGCGTTAAGGACACGGTAGCTCAATTGGTTAGGTTCAAGTCCTGCTCGTAACGTAAATTTGATAATGTATAATCGATTTTCAATTTAAATCTCATACTTCAAGTTATATTTTATAAAATATATCTTGGTTTTTCAGGTACCCACTATGAAGATGCATCTATTCACGTTTATACAAATTATTGGAATCTGCGTCCTATACGCTGTTAAGTCATCACGGTTTTCTCTTGCATTGCCATTCTTCTTGGTATTGATGGTACCGTTGAGGATGTCGCTGGTTCACATCTTCACACCCTTGCAGTTACGAGCGGTATGTTATAAAAGATTGTCAATTTTTTTTCAAAATTTCGAATCTACGAAAATTTTATCGGAAATCTCACGACAACTTCACTTCAATTTCAGTTGGACGGTGCTCAAAAGGACATCGACAAGGACGACGAGCCTGACTTCTACGAAGAGGCGCCCCTACCCGGATAGTGGTTAAACCCCTGCTATGAATACCCCTTCACAGAAGCGGATATACTTTAAGATGTGCAGTGCTTTAGTTAATGCCCGATCCTCACTCTTGCACATCATCAAACATCAGATATTCCTCTCCAAATCCAACCACCCCGCGTCAGGAGTCAGAGGCGACGGGAGTTGAGTGAGTCTATCGGGCATAGCGGTACAAAATGACACAGTGAAATATATGTACGAACAGTGATTAGTTTTGGAGCTATTTATTGATTTGTATGAAGAGTTAAGTGGGCCGATGTTGATGTTGTTCGTTATGTCAAGTTCGATATTTAAAAATAGTGTACACAATGGCAGCTACAAATAAGGGCTGTGTGGTAGATTTTTATATTCGAATTCTGAATTCGAAAATAAAGTACAACACTACTGTGTGTTTATTATCAAATGGAGCAATTTTTTTCTGTGGAGCGAACAAGTTATCTTGTAGGTTCGTAGATTTTTGCAAGGTTAGCTATTTAGAGCTTAATAGGACATTTCATGTTTGCAAGCTATTAAATATGTACTTAAAGTATTAAATACGTTACCAGTTGTTAGACTCACTTAAGAATAAGAAGTATGTGTTAAATACTGTCTATAGTTTACGCGAGTAGTACACATTTAAATAAAACACTTTAACTTCGACCCGACGTTTCGGATGCTTTGCAGCAGCCGTGGTCACGAGGAGGAGAAAACGTCGTTACAAATAATTTTCAATTAAGTTTTACTAATATACCGCGTTGTAAACCGTTGAAGTGTTTTATTTGAAAGTATGTGTTATTTAAAATACAAAATGTATTAGAATAATATTGACTAAGTACTTACAAAGCTTCAATTCAAAACTGTTATAATATTAAAAGTTAGCTCTAAAATATGGAGCCAAAGCGTAGGTGCCAAAGATATAAGTTGCATTGTGAGTTATTTGTTCTATGTAAATTATTTAAAAATAATTGTCGTTTGTAGTTAAAATGTATCTTTTACGCTTTAGCAAAAATAGTATTAATGTATCGTTACCACAAATATAGATAAAATAAATTAAGACGAAATTTATCACGTACAAACTAAAACATACTGTGTTATTTATAACTTTAGCTTCCTGTGGCTAGTGTACTTATCACTGTTATAAATTCAAACTAGTGTAACAAATGTGTTGGCACATTCCATTTATGTGTTTCATTATAAATTTAATGATATTTTAATATTCACGTAATGATTGTTCTAAGGTAATGAAAAAGTTGTATAAATCAATGTGTAGTTTTCTAGAAGAGTGTTTTTATTTTTAAGTGTTACACAATTGAGGTAGACGGCATATTATAAAGTATTTGGTACTGACTTATTTAGCATATAATTTTATAAGGCGACATGCCGCACCATGGTAGACATCAAATGTCTTTTTTTACATAAAATAACAAAACTATTGTATCAATAAAGCATAATGTTACCTCACAAAGATACGAAGCGCATTAATATTTTGAGAAGGTTTAATAAATTTTGTAAAGTTTCAAAAAATATATTTTATACAATTACATATGGCTGCAATCAAATCAAGAAGTGTTATATGAGAAATTGATATTAATGAAAACATGAGAAAGTTGTTATTAGTAAAAGACAACATTTAAGTGACTATAAGTTATTTTTCTTAAACGTTATCTAGAATACTAGTAAATTATTTTAGTGGTATTTGAGGATGTTTCTTGTATTATCGAGATTGTTTTTTAATTTTTAATAGTTGTTAAGTGTGTAGAAATTCATGTTAGCAAAACCTTAAATCAAAAGACCAATAACTTAAAATATACTTTTGGATTTAAATATTATGCTGTGTAAAAAAAAATGTATTTTAATAAATAAATGTTAACCGCTAATTCATTATAAATGTTGCTTATGTGAAATAGTGATAAAAAACGTAGTGTTCTGTAACTTGTATGTTCTTGGTATGTTCACAAAACTGTTCTATTAATAAAAGTGTGAAACAACTTTCATTTGTATCTTTTAGCAAGTAAGGACTATATATAACGGATATATAGGGGGGGGTGGGGTGGGGGGGGTTGATTTTCCCCGTTTCGCTCTTTTCACTACATTATCCGTTTGTAAAAGCATTGCGAAAAGATATTAAGCTACTAAGATATGCTATCAGTGCATCGTCTAGCCCATCCAAACAGATGCAAAAATTTCTCCGTCCAGTAAAAGACCGCGTGCTCTAAGAATGCGCATAGGATCTAGAGTACAAAACAAAAGAACACAATGTTTTAAGAAAACCTTTTATTTGCCATTACAATTTTACTGACTTCCGCATGTAATTGAAAAACTATCTTTGGATTTTATAAATTACTACAATCATAGAGGGAAGTGAAAGATCAAACTGGATATTTGCATATGGAGATGGCTAATGATAGTTCGAGTACAACAATAATAATAAAATATTTTGCTTACATTCAATAACCTCTTTTGCTTTGTGATTGGATTGGTAAAAGCTCTGCCTTATAAGAACCAGTGTACGTCAACTTTAACAACCCAAAAAAAGTAAAAAAAAATAAAATAGTAATACAAGTATCAAAGTTAGGAAAAATATATAAAAAACAATACAAGTAAAACAATCATGCGTTTAAAATTACTGACATTAAGCACAGTTTATTTACAACAAAATCAATACGAAAATGTCTTTTAATATAAAGCAATATTCGACAGTTTTATAAGGCAGAAAGAATTATTAAGACTTAAAAAAAACTAGCTTAACTTTATTATTATGCTCAAATTTGTGTGATCCGAATGACTAAACTGGAATGTACCGAATGAAGACTGGTATCGTGTTGCGATTTCGAAGATTTTGTTATGCATTGCCACAAAAGTTCATCCATAAAGCGCAAGGCATAGAACTATGTACGTTTAGACAACTTATAGTACAATTTAAGAAAATACTAATATATGATATTTTATAGAGTAGGTATATAATATTAGCTCTGAACAGTCCAATAAACTTTCTCGTGTTAAGGCGTCACGCATCAAATCACTGGTTTGTTCTGCACCTTTGTAAGCTGCATTGAGTTTTACGAGCGAGTTGACTAATCGCTATAGCTTTTGCAAAGTATAATTGACTGTACTGAAGAAATCCATTTTATTACATAAAAAAAAAACTATATTTTTATATAATTCCATCTGTATCTGAATGTTGAGAGTGGCAAGGTCATTTTTGCACACTTGAAAACATGTGTTATGACGTCATATGGCGGGATGTCACGTGATATCTTTGCAGGACTGCAATTATAGATGAATAACATTGGTGATTTAAAAAATGCATCAGAACTCGCTCGTCCAAACTCATTATACGACGCTTTAAGTTAAACCGATCGTACCGCCCTCTATAAATTCGTACCTTGAGCTTCGCCGTCCGGCCGCATCAAACTGGTTCAGAGTTACCTATATTATATTAAACGCAAACGTTCCATTAAATATTTCCTAATGCCGACAACGGCGTATACATGGTAAGCGATATCTACAAAGTCTTGGATTTATATACCTCAGAGGACGCGAGCGACACGCCCCTAGCTAATACAAAAACGCTTAACAATACAAACGAATCAGTGGTGTACGCGTATATATAAGAAACCTTACGTATCCATCGTTTCCTTACGAGAGTTACATTTTATAATAAAGACTAGCATATACTGTTAAATAACACTAATAAACGGTTCGACACCTAATAGTTTATATAGCATTCCATTAGAGTACCTTAAAATAATTTTGTTAAATATATATTCAATAAAACGAAAACCTGTTGAGCATGTTTATACCGATAAGCCGTATCACAGTACGCTGACTTAAATAATGTCGCATTAGAAACATTCGCAGAAAGTAAATTCGACGACAAATAGGCCGACAACCGATCGCCGATGTCAGTCTTGAAGCACGTTTCGCTGATAACGGACGTGGTGTAACGAAAATCGCTATTGGTCCGAAAATGTAGGCTTAGCGTAAATAGACAGACTAAAACTAGATGGCGCTAATGTTTTATACGTAGGTAGAAGCGATAGGAATATATTATGTGGGGTTCGGAAGACGCTACTCCACCTCTTGATCGCCAGACCTGAAGAAACCTGGGTTGAGGTCAAGAAGGTGAGTTCGCAAAAGTCGAAGTCGTTCACACATCAAGCGACCTCTAGTGAACAATTGGGAAAGCTAAATGCACTATCGTATCAATAACCACTTATATCTAACCACTATGGAATGAACAGATTAACCACGAAAACTGTCTAATCTGCTACAAATCACATTTAATACCAAACGTAGGCAGTTCGCGGTTCGGAGATATTTCTATCTCGCCGTAACACAACAGCGTATAGGCTGGTACTACTTATTGAACGTCGAAAATGTGAGAATATTAGCGACTCTTAGACGCACCTAGACATTTTTGGCACAGAAAAGTAATAAATTATATGCGACACTTCTTAAAAGGATTGTGAAAATACGCGGGCAATACACATGTAAACAAAAACTTTAACGGTTTAAAACGCGAAATATATTAGTCAAACTTATTTAAACTACAGTCCGAAGTTTAGAATGCTTTGCAGCATCCGTGGTCACGGGGCGACTAAAGGGGTGTCTCTAATTTCGAGGTAAAAACTGCTCCTGTAGCGCCATCTGTTTCATGGCCTGTAGTTAAAATAATTTGTTAATAAGTTTAAATAATATATTCCGCGTTATAAACCGTTACTGTTTCATTTAAAAAAGGACTGTGAGTTTAGATAGACGAACATTAGACTACTAAACTAGTTATAATTTCAAAGTGAAAATAATTCGGTAAATATTACAATGAAAGTGAGGAGTTTCCAAGAAATCATTCTTCAGTCTTTAAAAGGAATAGGTTCGGATAAAAATCCAATATACCGTTATATTACTTGTACATAATTACATACATCTTGTACTAAACTTCAATTTTGTAAATCGTTCGACGTTTTGTACTAAAATACCTCAACGCACTAAATCTAGGAGTATTCGCTTCTAAGCATAGAGTTTTCAAACGAAATGGAACGGGTTTCTCTTTGGTTTGAATAAATGAGTTAATAAACTATACTGGGTGATCGAACATCGAAGTTCTCCTTCACCACAAAAGTGCGTTTGGGGGAAACCTTTTCGATTCACGATTTCGACACATGTTTGGTTCGAAAATTAATATTTGAGGTTATGTTGATTTTGTAATTTTACGAATTCAAAGCACTTCGTGGGTAGTTAGTTACATTCGATGCTCCTGTCCGATAAGAATACAAAATATAAAGAATAGTATTGCAAGTTCTTGAATTCGCTTTTCCATGTGATGTAACCACGTAGTGATAAGCTGAAGTAAGGGTAGTTGCTTATTTATCTGAAATGAAAAAAAGAAATGTATATTCTTGAATTCTTATATTAGTGCTTTCCTCGTACATCTCTTTTCTTTCCCAGCCACCATGAAAAAAGTAATCATGACAAACGTTATCAAGGAAACAGGGGTTTGTCGGGCTTATGGTATCAATATATGGGTGATAATCATCACTCGTAGGTTTGATTGCCACCAGGTCCAATATATTTCTAATTAACTTATAATTTTGCGGAGACGAGTTGGACTTCGTTTGGAAATCTGGATATTAAATGGGCGAATATCGAATCCTATCCTTATGAATAATTTTTCTCGTTTTTACCACATTTCCCACTGTTTCGCTCTTATTGGTCGCAGCGTGACGTTATACAACCAACACAAACATCATTTTTATTCGAGCCAATAGTTCCCGAGATTCGCGCGTTCATGCAAACAAACTCTTTAGCTTTTTAATATTAGTATATATGTGAAGCATAAGTAAGTCTACCCTGCTTGGCGTACGTACGAAGAAGGAATTTCCCTCACCTATGCACTATATTAGCGAGATCTCTTAGCGCCTGTTCAACACCATCAGCAAGATGATGGCTGTGGGGAGCTGGTGAAGCGAGGGCGCGTGCCTCATTTTCCAGGCGGGTCGCAGCCGCACGTAGCTGGACGCGCATCTGCGGCGCGCATCGACTCGCTCCCGCCGCGGATGTGCAGGCGGCACTTAGACGCGCAAGCCGCTCTGAAGTCTGCAGACGCCAGAGAGAACCGCGGCCGCCGCTACCACCACAGCCGCGACGCACCTATAAAATTGAAACGTTGACATGTATTTTACGCGAGTATTTAAATAACGGTTTAAAACGCGAAACGCGGATGCATCCGAAAGTTGAAAATAATTTGTAATCAAGTTCACCAAATTTCTCGTTTTAAACTGTTAAAAGTTTGAAAATCTTCATCACTAGTCAGGGAAGTGAAACGAAAGATACAAATTTTATAACCGGAATCATTGTACAATATATCAATTATCAATCACCAGATAACGCCTGTGCGAACGGAATGCATGAACTTTAGTTTAATAGATTTAAAAGTCTAATTTGATAACCGCCTATTCAGATTATGATATTAATTTTGCAAAAAAAAACTTTATAATTTACCTCATTTGTACAACATTCCAAAGAAACTCGCAATGCGGCGAGTGCGTCATTTTCCTCGTTATCCATATTCGCGGCTAGCGGAGTAGCATAAATACCGCTCTTGCCCAACGGCCGGCCGCGAATCGACGGCTTATTGGCAACGGCCGGCTTATCATCACGTCGGACCTGCAGGCTTCCGCTGCGACCTAGACCCGATCTATCTTCAGGTGATCCATCTTCACTCTCGTCTCCCTTCGGCTTCATTTTTGGACTTAAACGTTCATCTGATTCTTTGTTCTCCCAAAGCTTCTTGAGGCTGCTTATACTGCCTGTGCTTCTGCGCTTATCGTCTTCATCACCACCGCTCGTGTCCAGGGACCCGCTCTCCGATCTCTTTTTATCCGAATCGTCGCTCTTGCTTGAGAGGTCCTTTCTAGAATCTTCCGGCGAATACTCGACCTTCTTAACCTGTCCATTCGTCGCTGGCAAATTGCTGTCGACTTTCCGCAGTCGAGACTTGAAGTCTATTATCGACCGGCCAGATTCGTCGGCCTCTTTCGCGTTCGCTTTGTTCGTCTCGACCTTTTTTAGTTGCGATTTGAAATCGGTGTTCGTCTTGGTGTCGATGCCAAGCTTCTTGTCTATGTTGTTGTTATATGATGTCTTCCTGAGACTCGCTTTGAGATCGATCGGAGAGACCTTCTCCTTTCCTTCGGTGGGTTTCGTCTCCTTCTTGTCTGCCTTGCGCAACGCTTCCATGTTGAGACTCTCCGACAATTCGGAGACCAGGCGCGTGACTGGATCGCCGAAGGAAGTGTGCATTTCGAGAATTTCGTGTGGAGGTGAGTCTTTGAGTTTTTGTTTCTTTTTGTCGGCGCGTTCTTTAATTTCGGCGACAAGTTTGAGTTCAAGCATTTCTTTCATGATTTGTTTGGCTGGTTTTTCTTCTGTCAATTCGCACGGAGTCTCTAGTCTGTCTGCGGTATCTGTACCAGCGTGACAGCAATCCGGCGGAGGAGGCGGTGGCGGGGGCTGCATCGTGTCCTCGGGCGGAGGGGGGAGGTCCGGCGGAGGAGGAGGGAATTCTAATTCCGCGAGTCGGGGCCGGGGTTTTACTGGACTGTTAGTGAATGATCGGAGGGGCGGGGCAGCGCGCGAGGCACGTGGCGACGCAGGCGCTGGGGCTGTGACGCCCCCCGATGAATTAGATCGGATCATGTGGGGTTGAGCCCTGGCTGTTCTCGGGGACAAAGATCTAGCTTCATCCTGTGGGGGTTCGCGAGGGGTGCTCGGGGCGCATGGGGCGCCACTCTGTCGCAGTGACTCCAAATAGGCGCCAATCCGGGCGCCCTTGGGCAGAGTGCCGTAGCGATTGATTGCACGCTTCACGTTTTGTACTTCGAGCGCCGCTACTTGCACCCCCTGCTGTGAAATAAAAAAGTTATGATTGTAATGTAATGTAATTGTAACTATTTTATTTTGAATTCAATCCAACAATCTTATAAAATTAAAAGAATCTTTGTTTCTTCAATCTTCAAGTAAGTTTTAAACTTAAGAAACATATTCTTTACAGATTTCATTATTTACAGCCCCCGTATCTTATCCGTATCTCGTTTCTATTGGCCAATTATATTTAAATGAAGATGTTAGAGCTTATATAATTTATTTTCGATTTTTAAATTATATAGTGCCTTCATGTGCTATATAATTTAAATAAGCTCTAACATGTAAAAAATATTAAAATTTTCAAATGCTGCAAATTTTAAAACTCTCTAACGAAATATACAGAGAGTATAAATCTGACCTTGGGAACGTCGTGCGACGCTTGATGCTGATGAGACGGCGCGTGCGCATGGTGGCGTCGCTTAGGCCTGTGTCGATGCTCGGCCGCGCCCAAGCTCATGCCGACAGCGCCCGCAGACTCGTCAGTATCTGGGGTCGCCTCCGCCAACGACCCCTCTGACGACGCCTCGCGAGCACCGACACGACCCCCACCTGAACCCACAACGAATCAACATAAACGATTTGAAATCGAACCGCACATCCCATCCTTCGAATTCCTTTGGCGTAAAGGTACCAATATATTATTAATTAACGTACATATGAAATGACGTTGGATAATAATGAACAATTACACGATTATGTAGTACTACATAAGTTGTTGAATAAAAAAATGGTATGATCAACTATAATCAACGAGAGTACGTAAAGATCGATAAAAGTAACTACGAAGTATGTATCTAGGTAACCCTTAACTCAAGAAACCACGCTAATCATATAAGAGTAAGAAAAATAGTTACTTCGGACTAGAAACTGAAAGATATATAATCTAAAAGAAATGAAATAAAAAAGCGGAACCTACGGCTAATAAACAACGTACACTAGACGGAAACGTAAAGAACAATTCACACGACTACCTCTTTAATCGGAATATATTAAATTCGGATCAATGTATGGATAATAACCGACGGGAATGTTTGTATTCAATTTAGAATTTTTCTAACAAAACATGTTGTGCTTTGTCTGGAAATCTGTATAATAAATGGTTACCAATATCAAAATGCCGTCTCTAACACTAACCACAGTCCACTGAAAAAAGCAGTGAAGAATCGAGTTTCGTATATTTCCGTATATCAAAGCCTAAGTAGGTTGACAGTGTATCTTGTGTAGATGATATATGGCTCGGGTATTTTACTTTCCATCAAGTAAACTTTCCCCTTTAGAAAATATAAATAGAAAAACCTATGGCTCTGCCTAACATATGCCTATTATTATATTGTTTCAACAACAAAAAATAAGTCCATCTTTTAAATAGAACACTTTAACGGGTTAAAACGCGATATATTAGTTAAACTTATTTTTAACTTCGGCCCGACGTTTCTTTTCTTTTTAAACCGTTAAAGTGTTTTATTTAAATGTGTACTACTCACGTAAACTATAGACAGTATTTAAGTCTATCATTTACAAAACAGAAGTCCATACTCTGTTTACTTAATCAAGACGATCAAGAGGTCATGTCGTGTAAATTGTCCAAAAGCCTCCTCATAGACCATCCAAACGCAATAGAGAAAAAGAATCACGATAAAACGTAACGTAACGTAACTCTAGAAGAAACGAACGAAGACATCACAAGCGACCTCTATGTAGGTATTAGCATAAGTTATACCGAACCGCAATTGTACAGTTGCCAAGTGTCAAGATAAACAGATAGTAGAATAATTTGTAAGGGCAAGATTTTAAGATATATTCATATAAAGATACATATATGTGGCTGCTAGAGGCAGAGTGGCCTAATATAGAAAACATGAGGAAAGTATAAACGCGCAATTAACTTAGGCGAAAATGACTTTGTACTATTATTTTTATAAGAATTATGTTAACAATTTTCGGTCACTGTGCTCTTGTAGATTAAGATTTTTAGACTATCAAAATATAAACTCATGTCACGAAATTAGCAGTTAGGCTACTCTGTCTCTAGCGGCCTCGTATGTCGCCATAGTTATTGCCGCCCTTTTATCGATAGAAACTTTATTTTGACACTTAGCGCAGAATATGCATACAACATATAATCAAGCAATTGAACCGTTCTACAAAATAAATACTTTTAAGACGGTCTCATACCACCACGAATTAAGAAACAACTAAATCGAACATTTATAATTATTATTTTATTTAAAGGATATATAGGTTGGTGCTTGAGTCACGTTTTGTGATGGAAAGAGAGAAAGATACTTTGGCGTGACTAGATGAACCAACCTGTATATAAAGAGATGTCAAAACAAAATACATAATTAGAATAGAGAAGGCAGGAACACATCTACCCTTTGCGTATACTTACGAAATCTCTGACCCTATCGCTATACACCTGAGCGAGCGGACAAAGACAAAAAATGCTAGTTTAAAAGATGCATATTATAAATATAACTTAGATTTAATTTCATCGATAACAATTATGAGGCATAAAATAATAATTATAAACAAAACGTTTGACACGAAATGCATTGCTTGCCGCCTTCGGAGTCACTCTCGCAAGACAATCCACTAATATATAACATAACATATACAACAGCCAATAGCGGAAGCGATATTTTAATATAAATAAAAAATATATAAACAAAAATACCGACAATTTGAAAAAAAAAACATTAATATATAAGCTTATTGTAGCATCGCGTGGCGAATGATTTTTTTTAATATTTACAGAAGCGATGTTGTAAGTGAAAGTATACTTTGTAGAAACAAATAAATTTCCATAGCGAATCGGTTAACAATAAATAAAAATACCGACCAAACATACTTACGAGTCATTCGCTTACATATAACAATTTGTTGTTAAGTAATATTTCTATTCCTTTCTTCAAATACAAAAATACCACGTGTTAGAGAGAGACGACGTTTCTTGGCTTTATAACTTAGAATGAAATTCGTATTCTATTTCTTTCTGTACGTGAGAACATAAATATTATAAAACGCTTCCTTGCCTAAAAACATAACCATGATCTGTGTGTCTATGGAAGCAAAAAAATATATACGACACAAACATCTATTCTGTGCAGTCTAAGTACGTTCAATGTCTGATGGAAATGTACTGTAATGTTACTATATCGACAGTGAATTTAAGCTTTACGTAATACGCAAGTCTCTATTCATACAAAATTACAAATCCTTATTTGTGTATAGTATATAAGAATTGACGTCAATATTGTTACATCTTATGGAAGTTGTCTCTAGAACGATTTCTGAACCTGAATTTTGAGAACGGCTACTGGTTCTCTGTTAGTTGAATTACAATATTTACCGTTGAGAGAAGCTAGCCCATCGTCGTGGGCGTGCTCCTCGGCAGCGTACTGTGACTCTCGGAACGAGCTGCACGACGACAGCAAACTGAAATGGTTATAAAATTAATCAGATCTTTGAAAATTACATTTTTATCATGTAGCACATGATGGTAGTATATAAATCAACAATATTTTTAGATTGAATTAATTAATACACGGGCGGGGCTTGGCCAGTATGAATAGCGTTCCGTGCTGCTCTAACCAATTGGCTACCGTGTCCCCGTGTTGTTGGTTAGAGCAACCGCACGGTACGCTGTCAAGTCCCGCCTGTGTCGTTAATAGATTTAATCAAAATAGATTTTTAATATAAGATAAATATATTTTTGACGAATTGATAGCCCAAGATTTAAATTAAAACTGTATTATGTCGACCGGTGTCTACGTGTACTTTGGGGGAGGCTTAGGACCAGCAGATGTCAAAAACATTTGATTTTTCATAATATGTTTATCTTTATGAAATGCTTCTATACCCACTTAGGCCAGAACCCAAGCTGTGGGAACTGTCCAGAGCTGATGAATTTACCTGGTACGCTTAGGCGGCTGCGGGGCTTGTTTCCCGCGTCTGTTAGTAGGGCGACGCATTTGAACACCGCGGTCCGCGGGGGCCGAGGACGCACCCATACTGGCAGCCTTCTTGAGGGACATCTGTGGCGTGCCCGTGCATCCCTCCTGTAGTTGCTTTTCCACTTCTAGACATAAATTGCTTATTAAACTACTAGTTCGTTTGACTATATCACCTTTTACAAATACTGTAAAAAATACAGCAAAGAAGACCCTTGGTAGTTGAGGGTAAAAAAAAAGTTACTCTAACGCTCGGAACAGACAAGCTTGAGATTAAGTTGATGGTTGGTAAAATACTCCAGCCATATTTCTAAACGAGAAGCGCTGTTTATCTATATTGGTTTTGAATTTTCGAAAATCGAATTTTCATCGGTGGTATGAGACCCGGACGGAATGTCAATTTCAGACGAAGTCGAACATCTTTCAAAAACCTATAAATTGATTAGAAAAATGCTGTACTTAGTTAGATCGGACCCACGACTCGTTGATTATTAGCTATACATTGCTACCATTAGAAAAACAAACCCGTTGAAGTCGGTCCTACCTTCAGTGATCGAGTTGTCCTGGAACATGTGCTCTAGAGCGTGGTGGATCTCGCGGAAGGATGGCCGGTCTGAGGCGTTCCATTGCCAACAGCCACGCATCAGCTCGTAAACAGCAGCTGGGCAGCCGGGGGGGCACTCCATGCGGTAGCCCTGAAATCACAAATCAACCCCTAAAGAATAGTTTGTTTAAATAAAAAAAATAACGCGAGTTGACTAATACATATCGCGTTTAAACGCGATATGTATTAGTCAACTTATTTACAATTCTACGTAACTAGGGCCAGACGTTTCGGATGCTTTTCAGCAGCCGTGGCACGGGGGGCGTTTTAATAAACAATACTGGTTCAAATAAGTTAAATCCTTGTATGATTGATTGCAATCATACAGATGTAGTCATAATTGAAATCTAAGGAAATGTATATTTGATAGAAACGTGGTTTAAATAAGATTCAAATCAATTAGGATTCAAGAATGGCTCAGTTATGATAGAGAAAAAATTACCAAAAGCTAACATATTTTTCGCAGCCATCTCTCGAAGCACACGACAAACTCAACGAACACTACTGTAAGTGTATTGTATTGTTAATTTAGTAAACAGTAGTACTATTGTAAATAGCCGCATAGTTTCCTAACAAAACAATAATATTTGCAGTTTATTAAACGAGATCGCAAGACCGCATTGACAAATATACAATTTCTATGTATGTAAATACAATTATACGTCGTGTTTAACAAACTTTGTATGAAAATTACAATTTAATTTAAAAATCGAAAGTAAATTGAAAAAATTTTCGACTCGGGCAGGACTTGAACGGGCATCGTCAGCGTTCCGTGCTGTTGCTCAGAGCTCAGAGCAACAGCACGGAACGCTAACGATGCCGGTTCAAGTCCTGCCCGAGTCGAAAATTTTTTCAATTTATTTTCGATTTTTAAATGATATAGTGCCTTCATTTGCAATAATATGTAAAGAATAGTAAAGTTTTCAATTACAATTTATTCAAAATGTTAAACAATGTAACATAAAATACTGTCTGTAATTTACGCGAGTGGTACACATTAAAAAAAAACACTAACGGTTTAAAACGCGATATAGATAAACTAGTAGACGGATTCTCCCCGTGATCACGGCTGCTAGCGAAACGACGGGTCAAAGTTAAAAATATTTCCAAATAAGTTTAAATAATATATATCGCATTTTATACAGTTAATGTAACAACAATGTAACATAATTACTAATGGCGATCAATGTACATTGTTGTCGAAAGTTATTATAAAGTCGTCGACATAACATGCCCTATTTTAGAATTGAGAGCGATAAAATAAAACACACCATGTATATGAATTTGAGGAGGCAGGCGTCATCGTTTCAGCGTATAAACGGTCTAGATTGCGAATTATAAATCATTCAAAGTGTTGAGTTTGAAGTGAGCAGTTATTAATATATCGTATATACCACTCCACAATGTCTGTGTTAAAAAACTCGATTATTTACGTCCTGCTCATCTCTATTGCTGTTTACGGTAAGAGCTAATAACGAGTGAAATGGCTTATCATTTTTTATATCATATGAGGCCGCTAGAGTCAGAGTAGCCTAACTGCTATTTTTTATGATTTGACTTATATATATTTTCATAGTCGAAAAATGTTAATCTACAAGAGCACAGTGACCGAAAATATTTAACATAATTTTTACACAAATAATAGTTAAATTCATTTTCGCCTAAATTAATTGCGCTTTTTTATTTTCCCCCTTATTGATAATTATGTTTTTTGTTATTAGGCCACTCTGCCTCTTGCTCATATCCGTTAATAATTTAGAATTGGAACTTGAATTTAAAATTGGAACATATTAGACTTCTTTGGGCAAACAGAATGTGCAGCAGCCGTCACTGGGGCTGCTGCAAATTATTCGAAAAGTCGGGCCGTTATAATGTTTTTTTATGTTTAACTAATAATATATTCCGTGATTAAAACCGATATAAGTGTTTTGTTTAATATATACTGACGTAAATTACACACAAATAAATTAACGGTTTATTTAACTTTTTAGGCAAACATAAGAAGGTGAAGCCGAAGAAATTTGTCTCCCCAACCGCAAAAGGCATTCAGTGTTATAACTGCCTATCCTTCGACCACCCGGGATGCTGGGATCCCGATCATCCAGATTACGCTAATATAACTGTAAGCTGGGACTTATTAGCCACTGGTTTAAAGAAAAAACTTAAACGTTGATTTGTATGCCAAAATTAGGACTACTATTAAGTTATTTTATTATTGAAGAGGTATTAATATATGTAATTCTAATAATAATTAAAGAAATTGTAAGAATATTGGAACTATCCTGGCTAAGAAGCTAGCCATACCGCCACTCGAGATTTTTAGGAAATTGTTCTTATTTTTAGCGAGTACATACTAATTCTTAGGTGGTTTTGCTTACATCGATAGAAAGGTAATCCACGATTAAATCTTTGACAGGTCCCAAACATTGACTGCTATATTCCCGGTATGGGGTTCTTGTGCATTGTCATCACCTCAGAATCCGCTAAGCTCGGTAAGATGCTTTTTAATATGTATATCTTTACTTTACTCAATTCATCTATAAAGTTATAATTCGCGTTTTAAACCGTTAAAAATATACTATTTGTGTAAAGTCATTTTCAATTCAACTCAATTTTCTCTAATCTTCGTAATACATACTTATTTACATAATGTTAATATTGGTTGTATTTTTTTTTAAATCGATTTTAGTAAAAAAAAATGTACGGCACGGGCAAGACTAGAACCGGCATAGAGTTACCTTACCTTAAGCTCAATCGTTTAGAGAAATAGCACGGAACGCTATGCCGGTTCAAATCTAGCCCAGGTCGTAATTTTTTTTCAATCTAATACCAATTTTTAATTTATATAGTGCCATCATGTGCAAAGAACATCTCTTTTTTTACAATATTGATGATATAAGTATATAAAAATTGTGTGTATTAAACAAAATAAAAGCTGAAAGAGCAGTCTTAATCCTTCACGTTCCAAAAAATACTGTTGATTGTGGTAATCATTCAGAACAATCTTCTAGTTGAGACCGGCCAAGAGATCGGCCCGGTCAGAGCCCGTACATGCGTACCGGCGAAGGATTTCTCCAAGAAAACAGTATCGTACTCCATGTGCAGCAAGCTCAGCAAGGAGCTCTCCGCATCAGAGATATTCTCACGTATCGCCGTGAGTCGACCCCAATGCGCACTTTGCAAGAAACATCTATGCACCGAAGCCTCCCATTGTTAAAACTTAACGACATTTTTAGTCCAGCCAAATTAGTACTTTAAAGTTACAAATCGGTATGAATGTTCAGAATTATAAAACTGTTAAAAAATCTCCATCGACCCTTGTCCAATTTTTTATTGAATAAAAGTTGCCAAAATGAGATTTACAGCAAAAATAGTTCAAACTAAAAATGTAGATCTACCGATTCTCTACAAAAAAATAATAATAATTAAATACTGTCTATAGTTTACGCGAGTATTACACATTTAAATAAAACACTTTAACGGTTTAAAACGCGATATTAATTTTATGAAATAGAAAACTAATATATCGCGTTAAAGTGTTTTATTTAAATATGAATTGTTATTTCACAAATATCGTAATATCCGTGATATAGCGGCAGAAAAAATTGCATAAGCTATTTTATTCGTAATATGCACACGTTTTCACCGGTATTTCCACGGTAGTGAGCTTAGCGCTTTTTTGTCGATTATTGAACTTTTGCAGTTGTTGGAGCCGATGTACCACTGAAACAGCAGTCAGTACTTATGAAAGTGTAGATACATTATTTGTAAAATCTTATTTTTGCAAACTTTTGCCATCAATAAAAAATTGCACAAGAATTGGACTCCTCCCAATACATTTATAATATTCTGACTATTCATATAAATGTTTAGTTATATGGGAAATTATTGTAAGTTTGGAAGTCTATTTTGACTGGGCTATATAATTACTAATTTTATGTCCATACTGTAATATATAACTATTAATGTTCGGCGCGTTGAAATGTTTGTTTCGAGCCACCAACGAAATTTGTTATCGTTATTCGTAAAACAAAGTTTGCGCTTACATCACCACTGTTTTATAAACTACGAAGTCATAATTTCGCACGTAATGCAAAAACTCTTATTGTTTTGAAACCGGAGCCTTGTTAAAAGCGGTTTGTTGAACCATATTTGGTTTGTTTTTATATTTCGAACGCGGAATTTGTTTCAGTTTTTCCCAGGAGATTAAATGTTTTCGAAAACATTCCACATTTGTTATTATTTATATTCACGTGCAATACGATTTGAAACAATAACAATTATAAACATTAAGTTATTTATTAATAAAAATATTTGCGTAATTATTAATGTACGTTTATAATGGGTTTTTTAAAATCCTAAAGGAAATAGGAGATTACAGCTACTCTTAGGTGAGTCATAAGCAGAGTGCTTTCTCCCTTTCCACCAACACATAATATAACAATTTTTATTAAAATAATTTGTATAATAGCATTTTTTTCGATAGATGAGGACAGACACGTATGTTTACTTGATGTTAGGTAAAGTAAAGAAGCCATATAACATCTAAACAAAATGCGCAGTCGACTTATTTCGGCTTTAGGTAATCGGACATCCACAGATTGGAACCGTAACACGATTAAACTTCACGGATTTTTATCAGTGGACGGTAGCTCGTGGTGCTCATGGATTTTCCACCACTTTATTTCCACCACCCATTTAACATCTATGTTTCCCGACGAAGTCCAACGTGTCTCAGAAAAACTATAAATTGATTACAAACATGATGAATTATTAACCATAGAAGATTTCCATACTATTAAGATAAGCTTACATAATCTTTGATAGCTGATTAGAAAGAGATAGCGAGCACGTGTACCTTTTCCAGCATATGGTAGACATCGGCCAGGTCCACGCCGGGGTACGGGGACATTCCGTAGGTCGCTATTTCCCATAGAAGGATACCAAACGCCCACACATCTGACTTCGTACTGAAGGTGTTGTACGCCAGGCCCTCGGGCGCTGTCCATTTGATGGGAAACTTCGCTCCGGCGTGAGCGGTGTATGTGTCGTCTCGCATTAGTCTCGCGAGACCGAAATCGGCCACTTTTACCAGGTGGTTCTCTCCGACGAGACAGTTACGGGCGGCTAGGTCCCTAGAAAATATATTTTTTTTAAATAGACGCATCGAACAGCGAAAGATTCATAAACAATAATATTAAAATGTATGACTTAGTACGTAAGATTCCTCCTGTATATTTTTTTGTCTGGGGTATGTTTTATAAATAATTAGGCTATAATAAATAATCGTAAACAAATGACAATCGACACGGGATATAACAGCGAACTTTAAGTAATGTCTGTAGTTTATGGGAGTATATAGATCACTTTTAACGGTTTAAAACGCGAAACACTCAACTTATTTCCTATTTATTTTACCCACGGCCCGAAGTTTTGCATGCTTTACAGCAGCCGTGGTCACAGGGGAAGCTACAAACGCTAAACAGTTATTGAGAAAATGTCGAGCTGTACTTAAAATCAAATAAAATAATTTAATCAATATATTTTTCGTTTGAAACCGTCAAAAGTGATCTATTTACAGGTGTACTTATTTAAAAACCATTTAAGACATACCACGTATGTATCTTAGTTTGTATAATGTGACCTAAGAACACAGTCTTATAACATATTTTTTGCATGTGTATAGTTTTTTAATATAAGTTATTTCAGATGGTTGGTTATAAATTCAATAACTCCGTTAATCAGAAACTTTAACATGGCATGTACTTAAATTAAGTATTTTATTTTGTCTTTTGAAGACAAAATAAAATACTTAATGGATAATTTAATTATCGAAAACATGTTTTTAATATGAATATATATATAGTGGTTGTTCTAGTCATATATAGATATATATATATATATATATACATTATGACTAGAATAACCACTTGTATATGTCTCACAAGACAATACATACATCTAATCGCGTTCGTAACATTTATTTTTTATTAACCATAGAGAAGATTTAAGATGGGACGAGTATGGTGTCCATTTGGTGAAAAGCTCAAAACCCCAGCCATATATATTAAACAAGATGCGCGGTCGATCTATGTTGTCTTTGAACATCCCGATATCCAGAGAGAAAACGGAAAGTGGATAAACTCACGGCTTCATTTGTGGACGGTGGTTTGTGACCCCTGAATTCGATAATCCTACCACCCATTTTAATATACAAGTCTCCAAACAAGGTTCAACATATTTTACAAAAACATCTCGGACCCGATGTCCACGGAACCCACTACGTTTCTAACATCACACCAAAGAGATTAAGATATTCACCTGTGTATAAACGAACGACTCTCCAGGTAGCTCATCCCAGAAGCGATTTGTGTCGCCATGTACATAAGCACGACGGCATCAATGTGATCTCTATTGCCCGTGCGCAAGTAGTCCAAAAGATTTCCCCTGCTCATGAACTCAGTGATGATGTAGAAGGGTGGTTCACGGGTGCATACGCCCAGGAGTTGCACCAGGTTCGGGTGTCTCATCTCCTTCATGATGGCGGCCTCTTCGAGGAAGTCTTTGAGCGCCATTGTGTCGTCCTTTAGCGTCTTTACAGCGACCTGAAAACATTTTAATAATATTAAAACTCTTTATTACACAAACATATTTACTCCGTAGTATAGGTACTTAAAATAAAACATACAAATAAAAACTGTGTGTAGGCAGCCTTATCGCCTATGGCGATTTCTTCCAGGCAACTTTTGCACGTAGAAAGTGTTTAAGTTAGTTATTTTAGAGTTTAAATAAAACACTTTAACGGTTTAAAACGCGACGGCTGCTGCAAAGCATCCGAAACGTCGGGCCGTAGTTAAAAATCATTTCCAAATAAGTTTAACTAATATATCGCGTTTTAAACCGTTAAAGTGTTTTATTTACATGTGTACTACTCGCGTAAACTATAGACAGTATTTTATTTTAGAGTTAACACCTAGCCAAGACAAAGAATGAATATCCGTTGATATTGTAGTGATATTAAATTAATTAAACATTTTAACTTTCGAAAACGGGCAGGGCAAGAACCGACATCCAGCGTGTGCAGAGCCGTTGCTCTAACCAATTGGGCTACCGTGTCCTACACGTTACAGACAAGTAGTTTTTAATTTTATATCGATTTTTATTTTAATCACTGCCATCATCAATAACATTTGAAAAATATTAAAGTTTCAACAAAGAAAAAGTTCTATAAAAACTGTACATCCTAGAGAGACTGTCAATCTAAATTTTTCTATTGAGCAAAATTAAGGTCTGCACCAAAAGAGATGAATGGCAAAGAATGTTTATTAAAATTACTTTTTTAAAGGAAACTCTGCACATGCCCCAAACATTTCTGTATATCGTACCGATCGAATTCACACAATGCAAGAAGTTGATCGAATAGAAACTATTATGTTCCCACGAAATTCCAACCCAGACCTCTTAACCAAGAAAGGCTCGAGCTTCTAAGGATCTTCTTCTAATAATCTTTTTTTTTTCCTAAACCATGGACTAAACAAGATGCATAGCAAGAGATGACGTAGCTTTTCTGTAATGTGTAATGGTGCAATGGTAGCAATGGTAGGGCTAATAATCAACGGGTCGTGGCTTCGATCCCGAGTGGGTCCAACACTTTTTGGACATTAAATAGGTGCCAAGACCAAAATAGGCCGACAAGGCATCTTGTAGACGTTATATGGCTATGATATTTCACCTAACATCGAGTGAGCCCCACGCTTATCTGTTCTCCTTTAACATTAAAGAATCTCGTTAGGTTAGAGCAGCAGCACGCTGTGGGTGCCGGTTCAAGACCCGGCAATGTCACCGAATTATCTAAATTAATTCTGAACTTATAATATAATAATAATTCTTAATTTAGCTTCTCTCTTACTTGCTACTTCTACGAAGTACCTTTGCTTTTTGTTTATTATTCCTTACCCACTTAATAAGTCTTTTCGCTAGTCTTTGTACTTCAGAAATCGAAGAAAGAAGAGAAGAGACCGCTGCTTAGCGATAAGGCCGCCTTTTATTTATAAGTTAGTACGTAAGATTTTATTTTTTCTAGTTCATGTGGTTATTATAAGTAATAAAGTAGAAATAAATAATTCATATTAATAATCTTCTTACGGTCATATTACAACGTTTCCACGCCGCTTCGTACACGTCGCCGTACTGTCCACCTCCGAGCTTGTGTTTCATCACAATATCTGTGCGGTCGATCTCCCACTCGTCAGGTGGAGCGAGGGGGAATACGGTCGGCTTGTTGCGCTTTGGCGCTGGGTAGAGGAGCTGGGTGATAAGACCGTCGCCCAGCACGGAGTGGTGATGAACCAGCTCAGCCAAAGTGCCGAACTTTGATTCGGATGTGACGTATACCTGAAGAAAAAATACCACCATGATATATTAAAGATCACCATCAGCGCCTCATAAGTGAAGGGTGGAGGTACATTCCTAATACAGAATATAGTTTCTCATTTTTTGTTAAACGATTGGTGAAACTGGTACAGCAGTTGCAACTTGTCGCACGACGGTTTAAAACGTGAAAAATATTAGTTAACTAGTGAAAGTTTAACTACGGCCCAACAGATGCTTTATGTATACTCGTTTAAACTAGAGACGAAATAGTGTACTTAAATATACACATGTTGATTAGCGAGATGACAATTGCTAATTCAAAAAAAAAAAGTTCGTTTCTTTGTTTCTATGTTTGAACGCGCTAATCTCAGGAACTACGGGTTGGCATTTGATTTTTTTCTGTGTTAGAGCATTAATAGAGAAAGCCTATAAGGCTATAAAACAGCGCACTGTGACTAGCACAAGCGAAGGTACAACGAGAAATGTGAAAAAAAGGGAAAATTATTCATCATTATAGGTTTCCGAGCAAAAACGGTTCAAGATACCCAAAAAATATATACGAAAGAATGATTTCTCTTTGAATGGTCTACAAAAACACCGCGACGCTATATATCTATTTTTTAAGATTAACTTGCAAAGACGACGGGAAGGGACGCGACCGACTCTGTGGGTAACAGTTTAAGTTTATAAAGATGAAGGGATTTACAAAAACGAATTTGTATGCCCAAACAACAATTCTCGCGGACAAAGTCGCTGACACATCTAGTAATTAGATATATACCAAGGACACCATCTTAATATTTAGAATTTTGTATATAACCATCTCTCTCTAAAGTCGCTGGATAGACGGGGGAGCATTCTAGCCGTCGGACAAAGGACTATCGTTACAGCGACTCAGCCCTCAGGCGAAGCAAGGAAAACGTATACACAACAATTTACAACATCTTAATTACCAGATTTCTCACAATGACTAATTAATAGTTACTTTGCTCTGAACCAACGTTCATTGGATAGTCTCGAAGCTTTCGTATTGTTTATTCTAATAAAGAATTCGAGTTTCGATTCGTTCTATCAATTTTGTTGTTATGAAGCAATATTTATTTGAAATTTTTAAAAAACACTAACTGTTTAAAACGCGATATATTTCATTTAAACATGTTTGTAAATTATTTTTAACTACGGCCCGACGTTTCGGATACATTGCAACAGCCGTGGTCACGGGGAGACTAAGATGGAGGATGTCTCTGACGTCGAAGTAAAAATTGCTATGCTAGGCGCCATCTGTTCCGTCGAAGTTGGTATTTGGCGAAACTGGCCGGGTTTTAAACAAATTTAACTAAAATATATCGCGTTTTGAATCGTTAAAGTGTTTTATTTAAATGTGTACTACTCGCGTATACTACAGACAGTACTATTTGAAGTTCTAAAATGATCTAAGACATTCCTTATACAAATTATTATTGTAATTTGAATACCTTCTATACAGATGTCTTATAAGAAACAAATACGATTTGTCATTAAAGAGCACAGAAGAACAAGAAGGGCACAAAGCAGCCTTCGAGGGATCACAGTATTGCTATGGACGTGGGTTTGTAGCCTAATGTTATAACCGTACATAAATTCAATTAATGTTTAAGTAAGTACAAAAAAGTCACTTTACCCCCTTACCTCCTTTATTTGTTACATTGTTAACGATACAAACAAGCATTATTAGGTTTACCTGTTGGAAGGTAAAATACCCCCGCCATATAACGTCTCAATAAGACTCGCTCACCTATTTTGGCTTTGGATGTTCGGAAATCCACAAGATGTTCAATTTACTGTGTATTATTTTTTACGGAGCTATTTCAGTGAATTCGGAAATTTGTGTGCTTTTTAAATTATGTTTCTAGTGATTTGCCAGGAACGACTGGGCCTCCCCTTCCTTTCGTCAGAAGAGAACTGGGTTACTTATTTTTAATTACCGCTAGTTGTTGTAATGCATAACTATGTTAGTTAGATGGATGTGGGGGGGCTGAACATGTGAAAGGTAGAGTGTAGACGGCATAACTTAGCGACCCCTGTTTAAGCTCCCTTCATTTCTCACCTGAACTAATACGGTGTATTGCCTTCACTTTGCATGACTCAAAAGCGTGATAAATGATTGTACATGTGTAACCCTTTTCTACTGAAAATTCAGTAAACTCGAAACGATTTCGTTAAAAGCTCTGTAATTATTTGAACATCCGTTACTTAATCGTCGATTATAAGAAATGTATCATTAAATAATAATGTGAATGTTGAATACTGTCTGCAGGTCTTACGGGTTAAAAACGCGAAAAATATTAGTTAAACCTATTTGGAAATTATTTTAAATACAGCCCGACGTTTCAGGCAGTACAAGGAGGCTCCGTGACTTAAATAATAATAATTTATCTATAACGGCATTCTTTAACTTAAATAAAATCAATTAAAATATTATTGATTTAGCTTAGGCGGTATACAACGCGGACTTGTTTTTAACGACTCGATGTTTCAGGTTTGCTTTTTGTAGTGCGCTTTGAAATATTTGTTTTTTAATAACAAAAGTCATCGGTACTTATAAATTCACAGAAAGAGCAGCCAACGACAACAAGCGGGACGTTTTATGGGTCAATGAGAGAAACATTATTTAAAATTAAAAACATTTAAATAGAATATACTTTTTCAAAGATCCTCATTAATTTTCTCATTTAACTGAATTGCATGAAGCCCGCTCAAAGCTATCGTGGGGCTGTTTATAAAATTCATTGAATATGTAATTAAATCCGGGACGAGATAGTTTATTAACGAGAAACTGAGTCACGTTTTCAAAGGAGCATTTTTTTGAAAAAAGAATTGAAAATGGTCGCTAATAAACTTCAACGGAAAGCTTATTTTTCTTTTTCTTCACTTCAAGGTAAAGGGTTCGCTAGATAGTAAATTATTTACCAGAGCGACGTTGGCTTTTGCTTCCGTGGAGAGATAGGAAAATAGTTACCTCTAACGGGAAGTTCTCGATATTGGAATTAACTAAATGAATAAACTAATAAAGTAACAATAAGTTAAAATTAATTGAAATGAGGAAACAGCGGATTTATAGCTAAATTTAAACCTATTTCTTCCAAGCAACCGCGGTGAAAAAAAGAAACTCATTAAAAAGTACGCGAGACAGCAGAAAAAGGTACTTACTTAATCTATAATATATTAATTAATTACTTAACTAGTGTTTAAAAATTTAGCAAGAATTATAATTTCAGATAACACGATCTATTAAAAGCCTTTTGTGATGCAAGACAGATAGCGTGATTAAAGGCTTTGCATCAGTGGAATCAAATGCCACAATCATTCAAAAATCTATTGCAGATTTAGTTAAGAATTTTAATTGAAAAGAACTTAAAACGCTAATGACGTACTCAGACGATAAGAGCTCGTGCCACCAGGAACGACACACGTTAAGTATTATATAATATTTACTGTATGCACAGTAAACATGCGTATACAATTCCATGTTCAAAATTCGTTACCCACGTCCGACAGAAGTCAGAAATTATCAGTTTAAACTCTATATAGATTAAAAATCGAAAATATATTTTTTTAAATCGACTCGGGCAAGACTTGAACCGGCATCGTCAGCGTTCCGTGCTGTTGCTCTAACCAAACTCTACAGAGTCCTACACACGAAACTGGTTACGTTGCAATAATTTTAGTAATTATTAGAAGAAAATCTTACTTGGCTGAGATATTACTCTAGCACGGAATATTTTTTCGCTTAGATATAACATTACACTAATTACAGTTATATTTTACAAACAAATATTATACGCATAAAATAAACTCGAAAAAATCTGCTTGTCATCTGACAAAGACTTCCTTTTAAGATTTTCACGCTGGCATAACTTTTGCAAGTCTAGACTCTGGGTCCATTCTTACGAAAATAATATATTTAAGCGTTCTCATTCTCGTTAAGTATGGGTTACGTCAAAGAAAAGGGAATAAATGCCGCCTGGACAAAAACTATAATTATAACCTATACTCATAAAGCTGCAAAGTGCGTTCATTTGAGCGCGCTAATCTCTCGACTACTATTTCGAATTTATAATAGCTCTTTTTGTGTGTTGGTTAGAGCATTTATCGAGAAAAGCTCTACGCTATAAAATATCAAAGATGAATTTCTTTCCACGTTGTTTCACCACACCACTGTCTCTTCGCCTTCATTGATCGCAGCGATAAATGATCTAACCAACACGAAAATAATTTTTCAATTCGAATCAATAGTCCATTAGCGCGTTCAAAACAACAATCTCTTCAGCTTGATAATATTAGTAGAGATAATGTAAATCTATAATCATTAAATAAAGGCTTTCATCTGTACCTTGCCATCCGAGTCCTCGTTGATGCGGTAATGATAAACTCGGCCCTCGTATCTCAATGAAATACTTCGTTGACCTGGACTCGACTCGGACTCGCGAACCTGAAAATGAGAAGTGGAATTGAGAAAACCAAACTAAATGGTTAGTGGTTTATTCATTAGAACCATGGCTGTAGTTAAAAGAACGGCATAGTGAACGCTTTGACGAGCTCGTAGGTGTAACGGTGGCAATGAATGACTGATAATCGTCGAGGAGTCGCGGTTTTGATCGCCACGGGATCCAACATTTTTCTAATTAAACATGTTGGACGTATGGAAATCTGGATCTTAAATGAGTGGTAGAAATATCGAGATTTCATCCACCATCTACAGTTGAAAAAATCGTGAAGTGTTATCGCGTTTCCGTTTCAGTCTGTGAATTTCCGCATGTCTAAAGCCAAAATAGGACGAGAGCGCATCTTGTTTAGATGTTATATGACAATATATATCAAAAGAACTCCTTGTATATCTGTCGTCGTATATCCTGCCTATCCTCTTGCCTACATTTATATATCCTTCACTGGTTGAATTATTCCTAGGCGAGTAGGAGAATTGACTATTACCGACCGAAATACGCTATTATAATCAGCCGATATTCGAATCCGGCACCTATCTCGTTTCACAGTATCGTCGCGGTATAAAAAATCCTTAATGACTTCCACATTTATAACGAAGCATTTTACATTCAGATGAAAAGTACAGCTTTTTAATATCACGAACACACGCCACGAATAACATTACACGTCGTTGAATAGGTGAGGCTCCATTTAAAAATGAAAACCGTGTTGGGACACTGACTTTTAAGGCTACTATAATTTATGAATTCGCGAATAACTGATATCATTCAAATCCAAAAACAATTATCAACTTAAAAAACTTTTAAGTTAAACAGTTTTTTAAGTTGATAATTAAATATAGATAAATAAAGTTTTTGTATGAAAACTACATTTTTTTTTAAATTTTGACTTAACTTTCGTGTTTTACTAGTGTATCCCTTTCATTTGATACCCATATTGAAGGGGTTAAGGAAAAATATGTAATCCGCCATTTTGTATCGGCGGCCATCTTAGATTTATAATGTGTTGATTTTATTATATTGTATTGTCATCTAAATTGAATGTGTGTACCAAATTTCAGATCAATCTGACAACGCCATCCCGTTGTCAGATTGATCTGCTTCAATTTTAATTACTAATTTTGTACCAAATATATAAATTCCGTACGGTTCGAGCTAAATAAAAATGTTTGAAAATCATTTAACTAAATAAAAGTCAAACTAAGTAACACGAAAGACGCTAAATTTACATTTACTCTAAATCAAAGGCGCAAAATGAACCACAAGAAATGGCAAGAAACTCGCCGCCACTCCTTTTAATCGCCAAGTTTTATAAGAGACTTCACGTACTTTAAGGGTAAGCGCTTTCCGCCGTGGAACATGGGGCGAACACATTTATGTGTCTGTTTCACTGATCCGTTTTATTTAAAGGCAAGTAGTTGTTCAGATTTCGATGGCCAGACAAAAACTATTTATAGTTTCCCAAGGATTCGAATCCAGGACCTCTCGCAGTGAACGCGTTTTATTTTTTCTAGCTGAGCTGGTTTTTGGACCCAAAGCATTTTTATCGTTTCAGAAAGTTTAAATTCTGAATTCAAATTTGACTCCGGCCGAAATATCTGAGTCAACTCTACACTACAATCTCACTAAGCGGCAATATTAAGCTGCCACACATAATTCGCCTTGAATCAACAGCGATAGGAAACTATTTAGATTAAATACTGTTTGTAGTTTACGCGAGTAGGACACATTTAAATAAAACACTTTAACGGTTTAGAACGCGATATATATTAGTTAAACTTTGGCGCAAGGGGAACTTTTTTAAACTTTGCAGGAGTCGTGGTCGCGGGGAGACGGCTGCTGTAAAGCATTCAAACCGTCGGGCCGAAGTTAAAAATAGTTTTCAAATAAGTTTTAGTAATATATACCGCGTTTTAAACCGTTCGAGTGTTTTATTTAAACTATTTAAATTTTGAGGTCATAATTTCCAAACCTTATTCGGGTCTTGGCAGGGACACGGAATATTTAACCACTTTCGGTTTTTTAGGCTCTTTATTCCCGTCGCTTCTTACATGAATATTTAATTCGGTCCAGAATTTCGTGGTTACAACAAAATCCAATTCCCCGTTCAAACGTAACGAAGCCAAAAAAAATCTATCCAGTACTCTCGGCGCTGCTAAAAATGTGTCAATTTAAACCTGGAGCGATGATTAATTGAATGTGAACTAAATTCTCTAGTTACGAGAGTTCATTTTTGTCCGGCAGTCCAATATTTGAGTGAAGCTCACGTAAGTAATTAAAAGAGGATGATCCTGGACTCGCCCGCTTGAACTTTGCGTGGCTCTGTATAGCATCCGTTATAAAGCTGTGTAAATCAATGACGGAATAAAATAATATCTATTCAAGGTAGAGAAATAGAAATTATTTGGTCGTTTAATTAATAAAATGTTTAGGCTGTGTAAAAACTATAGCCATTCTAATTATTCTTTGTCTAAATAAACATAAACTGTAATCGGTTCGGCAATTCATAGAGCTATCTCATTAAAATCGGAAGTCAGTTAAAAATACTCAGCAGTCAGTTAAATAATTTATTGCACATCGCGGGTAACTACTTACGCCAAAGTAACAATATTATTATTTGAACTAATAATAAGTTTGTTTAATTTTTTATTTAATTAGTTTATGTATTTATTAGTTAAAAAACAATTGACTCGGCTAAAGCGAGTTACATTAACTGAACCGTGACACAAAGAATTGAGATTTATAAATAATAGTATGAATACAAATTACATTGAAACAATTTCAGGGTCATCTTAATACATTAAACCTTTTTTTAAGTACTTCGTACAGACAAAGCCGAAACATTATATAATATTATTATTGTTTTTTTTTCAATCCTATGTGGTAAGTATATTATAATCAATAATCTATACTAATAATAAAGCTGAAGACTTTGTTTCTATGTTTGTATGTTTTAAGCCCGCTAATTTCAGGAACTACTGGTTCGAATTAAAAATAAATAATTTAAAGAGAAATCATTGATCCAAACATATATTTTGGGAACCCACAAGGATAAATAATGTTAGCCGTTTTTTCGACATTGTCAGCTGTTACTTTGTTCCTGTTTGTCACAGCGCGATGTTGCCTTCCTCGATAAATGGTCTAACCAACACAAAAATATTTTTTCAATTCGAACTCGTAGTTCCTGAGATGAGCGCGTTCAAACAAACTCTTCAGCTTTATATATTTGTATAGATAAAGAATAGTGCCAGTATAAGTTCCCAGGGAGTCGAATCATCCGTTTTACTACTTACGATAATTAAAATGTGTATCACCGCAGTAAAAATGTTATTAATATGTTTCGTTATTTTTGTATCAAGACATATGCTACTCGTCGTTTTTATGACTAAAGTGGAACGATATCGGGGTATTATTACATAATCGTATACATATAGAAATTCAATGTAACGCAGATTCTGTTTTTTCTTTTTCTCTTCGGTATTTATCAATTGTAGTAGTTGAATATTGTACTAGTTGGTTATTGAATAATAATCCCAATATTTGTTATAACAATCGATATATTTTTAATTAAACGGTTTAAAACGCGATATATATTAGTTTAACTTATTTGAAACTTATTAGCCGCGGTCACGGGGAGGCTGCTGCAAAGTATCCGAAACCGTAGTTAAAATAATTTTCAAATGAGTTTACCTAATATATATCGCTTTTTAAACCGTTAAAGTGTTTTATTTAAATGTGTACTACTCGCGTAAACTACAGACAGTATGTAAGTCGATATAAATTTTTATTTCAATGAAAATAGACGGCAGGCCCTAGGTAAAAAACTATTTTTTTTAAATATTATGAGACACTTTTAATTATTTGTTGCGTAATTGATATATCTTAACAATTAATTTATTAAGCTAATTGGTATGTAATACGACATTGCTCTGAATTAGGTAAAATCCAACTAAACAGTTTGTTTCCAAATCGGGTCAATTCTTATGTTCCGATTTGTGGATACACAAGCATTCAAAACAACCACATTGTTTCTCACGTCGCGAAGCAGTTCCACTTTCGTTAGAGTGAGCGACTTAAAAATTCTTAGAACATCAGAGCATTTCACGTAGGGAGCCTACCGTTTGTTTGTAGAATTAATGAACTGCATACATTATTTGTATACTACATTTTCTAAATTATAGCAATAACTTTCCGATAAGCTGCTAAAAAAAAAACCATCTTATAATAAAACACAGAGGTTTTTTTTTGAGCAGCTTATAATATAGACCAAAACTTAGAATTTAAAACACTTTTTGTATTTTAAAATTTAAGTTTTGGTCTATAATTTTGAAACTTGTAACGGTTGTTCTTTACAACCTGCAGCGTACACGCACACCGGTTGAAAACACGACATTTACGGGATATTTTAAACTAAGACTCGACGATTATAATACTTCACAGCCGCCGTGATCCGACTGTGTATGTGCATCGTAGTCATATGAATATATTTAGTGTTTGAAACCGTTTAAAAATATTTACTTCAATATAATAATTTTGGACTAAGTTGTGAACCTAATTGACTAAAAAATGCGCCCTGGTTTGAAAGGAATCAAGGTTTACTTTTTTTTTAAGATAAAGGACAGACGGTAGTTTGTGACTCAAAATTTTCTACATACCATCTTTTTTTTATGTTTAGGTATCCAGACGAAGCCAAACATGTTTCAGGAAAATTATAAATTCATTAGAAACATTTTGAACCCGATAGGAATCGAAACCACGTCCAGTTGATTATTAGCCAGACGTTGTTACCATTACACCAACCGTCATACCTTTTATTATATCAACGTCACTAAAATGTATTATCATTCAAAGCGCATAGGTTACTCGTAAGGTAGATGTTAGCCGGAATACGATGGAAGCTCGCTCGAGATCGATCCGTACTTCGAGTGTCCTCGAAACAGTTCCCCAGAGTCGTGTACACTCGCGTGCAATTTTGAATAACCTACAATATTATATCTACACTAGCTGTGCCAGCGACTTCGTCCGCGAGAATCGTTATATTGGGCATCCAAATTAGTTTTTGCAAGCCCCGTCATCCTTATAAACTTCAGACGTTAGCTACGACGTCGATTGCGTCCCTTCCCGTCGTTCTTGCAAGTTAATCTTAAAAGATAGACATATAGCGTCGCGGACTTTTGTTTAGATCATTTAAAGAGGAATCATTATTTCATAGGCATTTTTTAGGTATCTTGAATCGTTTTCGCAGCGTACGCATCTGAAACCCACAGAGATTAAAAATTTCCCCCGTTTTGTTCACATTTCCCGCTATATCTTCGCTTCTATTAGTCACAACGCGATTTATAGCGTACAGCCTTCCTCGATAAACGCTGTAACCAACACGAAAATTCTCTATTTTTTCAATTCGAACCTGTAGTTTCTGAGTTCAAACAAACAAACTTCAGCTTTATATATTAGTATATATTCGTTACATACTCAAATAGCTTAACATATTTCGATAAGATCCGCAATTATAAATGATGAATACTTCTACATATCGTCTACCAGCTGTTAGGTTTAAAAAGTGTGGTAACCAATTCTTTTAGAGACAAGAAGTAGGATGATTCACACGAAAAATAATCCAGATTCCCACAGCTAGAAGCCTGTTTCGATTTTTTTTACGTCTTGTTAAAATTAATAGGAGGGTAATGTCACTCTCCGTAATGGTCAATAACCAACAAAATAAAAAATACTTGTATTCAGATTACTGTTGCGTTATTTTTTTTATGATAAAGGAGGTAAAATAGCCCAGGCATATGATATCAAGATGCGCGGTCGACCGATTTAGGCTTTTCTACGAAATTAGTATAGTAGGCTTTAGAATTAATCACATTTAGGATCTTCATATGCTTCTCTAGGTGTTAAGTGTGATATTTTATCTATTAAGTATGTTTAGCTTTAATAATTTAGTGTTAATTTCCAGTTTAAATTATCTTTTTATTGTATAATTTAATTTTTTATGTTTACTTTTGATTGTTTACTAAAATTATCGTTTTATTTCTTATTTCTACATGCAAAGGTTGCCTGGAAGAAATCGCCATAGGCGATAAGGCCGCCTTTGTGCAATAAAGAGTTTATTATTATTATTATTATCATTAGTATTTTTCTCAATTATTCTGCGTTGCTGGCCAAAATTGGTCATTTTAGTAGTTCCCTAGAAGTAACTATAATATAAAGGTGCTATCACACTCAGCCACTACTATTCTATTCATTGCATCGCCGATGCACCGGAGAATCAAATCAGCCGTACCGATGTTGATTACTTACGTGGAATGTTGGAATTAATTCGCCCTACGATCTGACCAAGACGAACATCGAAATCCACATGTAAATTGCGTATGCACTGGAATCTCCCAGTTTAATTAATTTATCAATCGCTAACAGATACATTGCAGAAGGCAAGAATTGATTAGACGAAGCAAAATTAAGTTTACACTTACAAACTTAATTTCGTTTTGTTACCTTTAATATTTTTACAGATATTATATAAAAGGTTGTTCTGTCTTGATCTTATTTATCAATATTTAAGTATTATTTAAATTAGATGACATAAGTTGAAGGTAGATTTAATTACCCTCAAATACCAGAATAAAGATATCAATTACCAGACCAAAACCGTCTATTGAGGATTGTCCTTTTTACTCGCTGAGACAGTATACTGTTTTAAAGGACCATTCTTTAAATCTGAGTTCACACCTTGTCACCACATTAGTTACTTATTACGTACATTGTACATATTTTTACTCGAACGAAGTAAAAATAATTTAATTACGTGGTATTAAGACCCCATTGAAAAATATTATTAAATAAGTAAAACACTTTTAACGGTTTAAAACACAAAATATAATAATAAAACTACGGCCCTTCGTTTCGTTTGCAGCAGCCGTGGTCACAGGGGCAATGATGCAAAGATTGCGTTTTAAACCGTTAAATGTTTTATTTAAATGTAATTTTAAATCCAGTATTTTTTTATTATTGGTGACATTGCTTTTATTATCCGTTGCTATTCTTTCCTTTTCGTTTTTTTTTTGTCTAATTCTTTTATGCATTCTAGATTTACTCACCTATATTTATACTAAAGTTATAATAATTTGAAAGATCGTTTCTTTGTTCCTACATTGTAACTGGTAATATAAGTGGCTTTATCTTCAGATTCGAAAACTACTTACTAGAAAGCTCCCGTTGATACCCGAGGACAGCAGATATTCGGCCGCGTTCCGAGCAATCGGGCCGTGGTACCACGAGTGCTTCTCCAGGGAGTTAACTGGTGTGACGTAGTTACTTGGTACCCAGCCCACACCACCGCCGAGTGTGTGCGCTTCGCACCATTCGCCACTCTTGTTGTAACTCATTATGCGCACCTGTTCGCCTGTGGGAAATTCATTTTCTATTTATCGTTCAATCGAACATTAAATTCGAGTATGAGAGTGCTATACTAATAAAAATAGGGAACGCCCATTTCAGACCAAATAAATTTAACTAAATAACCTGGCAAACGTTCTATTGCTAAGTGTTTTGACAAAATTTTATTATAACAAAAGGGATCATTTGTTTAGATCGATTAAAGACGAATCATTATTTGATACATATTTTTTGAGTATCTTGAACCGATTTCGCCGCGCACGCAGCGGAAACCCTTACAGATAAATAATTTTCCACATTTCCTTATGTTTCCTCGTTTCTATTGGTCGAGCCCAAATGAATTATCACCAAAAGCCTTCTTCACACAACTTGAACACAAAAATATATTTTCCGTAGTTCCTCAGCTTTATAATTTTAGTATAGATATGTACGCTTACTTTTGACATACAATTATATAAGGAAGCAAAAAGTATTTTAACAACATCACAGACAAACTTTTTGGTATATATAATTATCAATTGGTATGTTATAAAATACTATAAGTGAAAAAAAAAACCATTTTTTATGAGTGGACATTTTCTCTTCCTACATTGGAAATAATAACACATATATTCAATAACCAACAAGGTACCACCCCAATGGCTCAATGGCAAATTCTCCTGGCTGAAAATTATATTCCCAATGACATACACGTAGTAGTTAAAACAGAGAACGCTACATAATGTTCATGGCGAGTGCTTTGTTCTTTTTCTAAACAGTTAAGTACATTTCTTTAAAACGTTTTCGACTTTCATAATTCAAGGAATAACAAAACACTGCTAAAATGTACATACGTCAGCATTTGTGCCAAATAGTCATTTCAAACAAAACTGTGCTGGCGTATCAAATTTCTTCAAGACATTATTTAATTTCGTTTCACTTGCAAAATACTCAAATTACCCAAATTGCTAACGAATTAACTCGAAAGCAAATAAGCAAAAAAACAATTGCTAATAGCATTACGTAATAGAAGTATAGAAATGACATTGCCTATTTGAGTTTCGACGTAAAATCAATTCGCTGAGCGGGAGGTTGAGAAAAGTGCCTAGTCCGGACAATTTGCAATGCGTTTACTAAGGGAAAGAATTCCCAAGTGGTAGATTGTCCTGGAAATGGGGCGTAGTTAAATTAAAGTTTAAAATTGGATATTCGATTTTTAAAATAATACAATTTTAGTTTTATCAAATAACTGAACAGGTAACGTTGTTTGCAATTAATATTATTGTTTCACTATAACAAGTACTTGGTAATAATGCATTAATTTTGATCAAATTTTATTACCGTAAAACCGGTAAGTTCAAGATAAAGACAAATAAGACTTATACAATTGTTATTTTCGATCATTTAAAGAGAAACAATTCGCTCGTATATATATTTTTTGGTTTCTTGAACAGTTTTTGCAGCACACGCAATAGAATTGGTCGCCGCCTGATGTTATATAGCCTGAAGCTTTCTGTAAATTCGAATCACTAGCTCCTGAGATTAGCGCCTTTTAACAAACTCTTTAGCTTAAATAAGTATTCATTTAGTATCTCCAAGCACTTAAATGGACGCAATTTCCACTTGTACATATACTGGACAAAAATATTCCAGCACAGTATAAATTTGAAAATAGAACAAGTAACGAGAACCGGCATTATTAGGTCCAGCGAAGGCTTAGTTGTATGAGCCTATTGTACGCTGAGGGAAGCACTGCAAGTCCTTTGACAGAAATAAGTCCAATTTCAAAACACGGTTCGTGAATGTACGCTTTTCACTTTAATGGGATTACATTTGCTCATATAACAACTTTGTACAGCGGACACTTCCATGTAACATGGGCGACAGTTTCTACGAATGTTTTAGATGTATAACGTTTGAAAACTTTAATATTTTTAACTAGCTGAGTCAGCGACTTCGTTCGCGTAGAATAGTTATTTTGGACCGTTGAACCGTTTGCGCAGCGTACGCAATGGAAATTCAAAAGGATGAATAGTTCTCCCCGTTTTTTCGACATTTCCCACTGTATCTTCGCTTCTATTAGTTACGTGTTAGTGTTCTAACCAACGCAAAAATAATTTTTAAATTCGAACCAGTAGTTCCTGAGATTAACGCGTTCAAACAAACAAACAAACTCTTCAGTTTCATAAAATAAAATATACTTTATTATCATTAAAATTTAAAAAAATATTTAGATTCGTCATTTTTTTTTCGTTTGTCTGTTCATTGTGTTTCTACAGAGTGTTCAAAAGAGCAACATAACAGAGAAGAACACCCAAGAAACTCAGTCCGGCTTTTTTAAAATATTATATATTAGTATAGATAATAGAAGTAACGATAATAACGGGCAAGATAAAATCCTACGTCCACAGCGCTCCGTGCTGTGTACTCTAACCAACTGAGCTACCGTGGCCTTGACGTCATCGTCGAATTTCTTCTACCTTTATATAATCAAAACATTGTATAATGTCTGTTATGAAATATTAGCACTGCTTTAATTAATATAGTCGTAGGGTAAAAGACGTGTTGGAAGGAGGAAGAAGTCATGGCTGCCAACACCAGGGAATAGACGAGGATAAAAACGGTTGAGCCATTGCTACATCTCGCAAAGGACATCAGTCGCTTTCAAAAGCTAACGGCCAACCTTCAGTAATGGAGAGGCACAAGAAGAAGAAGAATTAATATAGTCGTATAGTCGATTTTTGTAACTTGTACTCGGCGGATGATAAAGACAAGACAAGACAGCGAGCAAGCCTGCCATACAACCCAAGCCAACTATACCAACCATGGCAACTGCTATTCAGCTTGTTAGCAGCAAACCACAGACAATACGATCTCGATGTTCATTTACGAATCGTCGATCATTGGCGAAATCGACCGCGTCCCGTTAATCGTTAAAGGTAAACATTTACCGTCGCGGCCATTTTTTTAGATCACTTTAAGAAGAATTTTGCTTTCATTTGTATGTTTTGGTTTCTAGAACCGGTTTAGGAACGGAAGCCCTCAAAGATGAATAATCCCCATTTTTTTCATTACACTTTTCCTTCGCTTCCATAAGTCGCAGCGTGATTTTATATAGCCTAAAGCCTTCCTCGATAAATGATCTAACCAACACAAAAATATTTCTTTCATTCGGGACCACTTGTTCCTGATATTAGCGCATTTAAGCAATCAAACAGAGAGAGTAGACACCACTAGCACCTATAGGATATACCTTTCTTTAGGCTCAGCTGATTTTCGCCTCCCGCTTGAAAGTCGTAAAGCGCGACGAACAGCTGCGGGTCGTCTTCTTCGTGATGTGCCAAAAGGTTTTCCTTTGAAGTCCATCTGATGAAGAAACATCGTTGTATTAAGGGAAATATTGTTGTCCTTCTCATAACAAGAAGTAAAAAGGGACAAGAATATTTTGGGAATGTACCTTCGCATAATATTATACCTCATCGTAGAATAAACGAGTATTTTTAAATACTGTCTTTAGTTTACACGAGTAGTATACACATTTACATAAAACACTTTACCGGTGTAAAACGCGATATATATCAGTTAAATAATAATTAATTACGCATAATATTTAGTTATATACGAATTTTAATTAATTAATTAAATAAATATAATGGTTTTCACCGTGAACACGGCTGCTGCAAAACATCCGAAACGTTGGGCCGTAGTTAAAATAATGTTAATATATCGCGTTTTAAACCGTTAAAATGTTTATTGTAATCGAGTATTTTATTTCAGTAGTCACTATGTTTGTCTTACTAAAAAATATCGTTAAGCCTATTTGTAATTACTTCAATAATTGCGCTGCTTTTGTAACTCACTGTTGGTCTGTGGTGGATATGAAATCTATATTTGGTTTCATTTATTGTAATTGTATATTCAGACGCGGTTCCTGCAATTAGCGCCATATATATGAAACAATGCGGTATGAAATATGGCTAAACTTGGACGAGAAATTGGGTAAACGGTGATATTGATTATTTTTATTACATATCTTTAAATTAATTTGACTCGGGAATCTCGGGGTCCACATGATTGAACCAATGTGTCTCTGACCTTTAAGATCTAAATATGATGCGATGTCAATTAAGGCTTTAGACAATCAAAAATCTAGACTGAAATCGAAACGCGATTTTAAACATCACAGCTCTTCCACCAGACGATGATTCCTGACTTGGATCGAACTCTAACATTCCTACCACCCTATTTGATACAGGATTATATCCACAACCAATCGGTTATAAAAAATACTCGAATGCAGCTATTTTTGTGAAAGAGCGTATTGTTTTTGCCACAGCACGCTTTTTAAGCTAAAATTCTATGAATGTCAACTTGCATGGCTGCCATCAACGGTCATAGAGAATCAAGAGTACAATGGTTGATGTAGGCATTTAAGATGACCTAAAAAAACAACTCGGCCTATTTTCGTAGGTGGAAGCCATTGGACTAGTGCGTATTTCGCGGCAACATTAAATACGGTGATATAACACTGATACACTAACATCCGTTCTAATAGAAAGTTGTATGTCATCGACGCTAATAACTTATGAATAAAATTAAAACTTTTAATTGGTTCTGAGAAAAAAGTAAACTTTCGCAGGATCGTCAATTGTTGGTATTTTATTATGGCTCTTGGTTTATTATTATTGCTTTGTGATGTTTTTATTGCTAATGATTCCTAGAATTTTGTAGAAAACTGGATTTAACCTATGTAAAAGATGCAATTACTGAAGTGTTTTTAATTATCTATAATCTACGGTGTCTGGCGGCCATATTGTTCTAAGAACTACGAAGCGACAATTGACATTGGCATTTGACATGTGTCAATTAAACTGATAGTGTTTGGTTGTAAATTTCAATTATTATAAACAGATACATAATTAATGGTTGATATTTTTTTTTACTTTGTATTTAGAAATTGAATGTTTGTATGTGCGCTTTTACTGTCTATACTACTATTTACTATCATATTTCTGCCCTATGGAAACTATGTATGATGTCATAAAAACAAGACTCTCTTAAACATTTTCAACGGAATACCACGCGATGTGTTCTTAGTTTATATTAGCTCAGCTTTGCGAATAGCATTTGCTTTAATTATATAATTATTACGGTACATTTTTGAAACGTAAAACTGAACGCACGCGCTATCTAGTAGAGTTGTTTATCTGATAACGGCGTTTGTCGGAAAGGTATGTGTTTCTCGTTATATAACTCGTATGTCACTCCCACTGTCATAGCCAAGGCTGACTCCTGACAGGATGCAAATTGGAGTTGTGCAGGCGCGATACTATTAAAATATATACATAGTAAACTCGAACTGAGGTTTCAGGGACAGAGGAAATACGATAGTTGCAATCAATTGCATCGATGCAAATGTGCGTTCGTAATTCCTTCCTTCGCCCTGTAACTAAACGACTTAGCAAACTTTTAAATGGCATACTAATAATACAATTGAGAACAAACGACTGGAGGAAACGCCACGACGATTTTTAAACGGTTTTATCTAAGTCGACCCGTACGGAATTTATTTATTTTGGTCAAAATTAGACATTGAAATTTAAGCACCTTCCCATTGTCAGATTGATTTGAAATTTGGTACACACATTAAAAGCAGCTGTATATTTTGTAGTTTAAAAGATAAATACTACTTAAACATTATTATCAAAGATCATTGCGCATGAGTTTTTATATTAGTAAAGGATTTGTAAATACATTTATACACAAACTTCGATCCAGGTTAGGGGTCATCACGTACGTCATAAAGTACGTCACACTTAAAGGGGGTGGAGGAAAATATTAATTAAACTAAAAAATATTTTCAACTCTATGGAATAACGAAATAAAACTAATTTCAGAACTGCTGTTTTAATTTAATAATTTTCGATGTGAAATTGCAAAACATGTGACGTCACATTAGGGAGGGGGTCTTAGAAATGTGACCACCTGTACTTCATGGATGACCCCTTACTATTACAGGACTTTTACTTTCCGTGCTTTTACATTTACCAAGTAAGAACTCAATGTTTAGATTTTTAATGGTAAGAAATTAATTATTATGATAAATTTACCTGTTAGCCGAGTCCAGCGGTTGTGGTAACGCCGGTGCGGTCGCCTCTCCATCTGGTAGGTCTGGTATATGGGGAAGCGGACGGCTTTGCAAAAGGGCTTCTGCAAACAATAAACCATCCCCAATGAAGATACAATAATGACTTACCAATTTTAATTAGAAGTGTTTAAATAATCAGAGATTGGATTACATGAACTTCGGTATTAATCGCGTATATCGATATTCAAAAAATTGTATGATTTTTTTATGATAAAAGAGGACAGGCAAGCATGTGGTTCACTCGATGTATACCAGCCTATAGCATCTAAGCAAGATAAGCTGTCGACCTATTTTAGCTTTGGATATTCGGAAATCCACAGACTAAAACCGAAACGCGATTAAACTTCACGGCTTTTCCAATTTCTATATTCCTACCACCCTTTTAATATCTAGATTTACATTTTTATATTAATTGCATTCAGGAAGACATTTATTTTGTGTGGTGTAGCATAACTTATAGCTAAATAAATGGCATCTATCGCACTTCAACGCTTGTTTCTTTCTTAAGCAACGTCGCTCTACTCTGATGAAGCCCTTTTTGATTTAAACTAGAGAGTATTTCCACTAACGATTAATTCCACAAAACTCAATACGTTACTTATATTAAACAATATTTACAAGTACAGGTTTCCTGCCCCAATTGCAGAGAGGGGACAATAACTCCAGTGAGCATTGGCAGAGGTTAACGACTATCGCCACTAAATAAGCTAATAACTAACTAATAACTTTATAACAATGTAAAAAGTTTCAGCTAAGCGACACCTCGTAATCTTTGGCTGAGTGCACCAACTAGGAGACCTAAAAGGTAGTTAATCAAAAACTCAATACTTAACATCAATCAGACGGGATCGAGTATTTCAGCCTATTTGTGCAAACAAAGAAATGCAATTTATAAACTCGCAGTACTGACATCTGTTTAATTGCATTCCCAAATGAATTTCAACCCCATTGGTAAAAAAAAGCCAAAAAATTATGAAAATCCATTTGTTGATAAAAATTAAAACGTTCAAAGGACACGGTCTGAAGTTTACGTGAGTAGGTAGTTTAAATTAAAAAAAAAAAACTTTAACTGATTAAAACACGATATATATTAGTTAAACTAATTTGAAAATTATTTTAACTATGGCCCGACGTTTCGGATGTTTTGCATTAAAGGGGGGGTCTCTAATGACAACGTACCTGCTACGCTGGCGCGATTATTTCCAAATAGGTTTAACTAATACATTTAAATGTTCAAAGGACTTCAATGCTATATATTGTTTTTGTATATCTCATTGCTTGCAAGGCATAGGGCCGTTTTAGGAGAGAGGGCTTAAGAGATAAGACCCGGCAGTCTGCTCCAGTGTTGGTTAATGGGCTTTAAGGACTACAAACGGGGGCAAACGCAAAATAATACCACTTATTATTAGCCATGGCAACTAAAATTAACCAATACAACGAATTTCACTATAAACTAAAGTTATTTCTATCAATTCAACCATCAGTTTAATATGTTTTATAATAATATTAATCACATTAAACCATATTTCTGAAACAAAACGTATTTCTGAACGTTTCAAATTCTGAACTTAATGTGAGACATCTGAATCCCAGACTTGAAGGGATAAAGATAGATTACACTTAGCCGTCATTGTATTGAGTTAATTCTTAGATAAGCTTTTAAAGAAGAACGAATTCGAAGCCATTAAGCAAGTATGTTTCAACGTTAATACGATTAGATACAAGTATTATGTAGTACGTTACATTGAAAACGCCATATAACAATTCTGAAAATAGATTTTATATTACGGACATCACGCGGGTTTTGAAAAAACACTTACATTTAAATAAAACACTTTAACGGTTTAAAACGCGATATATTAGTTAAACTTATTTGGAAATGATTTTTAACTTCAGCCCGACGTTTCGGATGCTTTGCAGCAGCCGTGGTCACGGGGGCTGTTAAACTGTGAAACGTCGGGCCGAAGTTAAAAATCATTTCCAAATAAGTTTAACTAATATATCGCGTTTTAAACCGTTAAAGTGTTTTATTTAAATGTGTACTACTCGCGTAAACTATAGACAGTATTTAAAACACTTACATAGAATAAACGGCGGACATTGCGAATTAGTCTTAGTCAGTCAAACATCGAATTGATTGAAAGTAGTCTGTGTTGGGTTTATTGCCATTAATTTCTTTAGAAAAACAATAAATTAAAAAATAAAGTTCTTTCTTTGCTTATATAATAACAAAGAAAACTAATAAGGCAAATAAATATAATACAGCTCAAGCTGTTATGATGCTATCGTATTAAAGCGTTGGACAGCAAGAGCAAGCGCTTTGTCGAGAACTAACAGCGTATAATAAAGAAGCGTAAAACAATCCCTCTATACAACAGGTATTTCTTCTTAGGCGACGGAAACACCGCGAAAACTTCGACTTCTAACAAACTCGCGCCGCTCCAACTATAAAGTCGATATAAAATTTATCGTCTTTGGAGTTTTTCCTTTGGTATTTTTCAAAAACTTTTTCAAACTCAACTACAGTACCGCTCGTTATAGAAGTTTGTATTTTTCGTATCGATAGATCGCAATCAGCTTATGAGAGAATGTAAGGGAGCAAAGTTTCTATAGTTAAGTTCTCCTGCTAAGTGTAATTGCCTCACAAAAGAAGACACAGAAGAACATATTAAATTTTGAGTTGTTCGTAATAGAAGCCATAGGAAAACATGTATGTTAATGTTGAAATTCATAACCCAAAAACCGATACATACATACATAATAAACCTGTCTATACCAATATTATAAATCTGAAGTGGTTTTTGTTTGTTTGTTTAAACAAACTAGTCTCAGGAACTACTGCTTCGATTGAAACTTTATTTTGCGTTGGACAGAACAACATCACACTGCCACCAATAGGAGCGAAGAAAGAATGGAAAATGTGAACAGTTTATATCCATCTTTTAAGATTAACTTGCTAGAACGACGAAACGCAGACGAAGTCGTGGGTAACAGCTAAAATTCATAAGGATGAGGAGGTTTTGCAAAGAACAAATTTTAATGGCAGCAATGAAACTAGAAAATGGTGTTACCTTTTTTGTAATTTCACCTTAGGTAAACCTATGCTTTTCTGTCATCCTATTACAAAAGTAATTCTTAAATATTGCTGACTAGCTGTGTCAGCGACTTCGTCTGTAAGAATCGTTATTTTGGGCATCCAAATTCGTTACCGTTATGGGTAACGTCAGTCGCGTCCCTTCCCGTCGTTCTTGCAAGTAAATCTTAAAAGATAGACATAAAGCGTCGAGAACTTTTTTTAAATGATTTAAAGAGGAATCATTCTCTCAGACATATGTTTTGGATATTTTGAACCGCTTTTGCAGCGTACGCCTCGGTAATCCATATTGATGAATATTTTTTCTCAAAATTTTCCACATTTCTCGCTGTATCTTCGCTTGCATTAAACACAGAACGATGTTTTATAGCCTTCCTTAACAAATGCTCTATACCAACAAACAGTTTTTAATTCAAACCCGTATTTCCTGAGATTAGCGCGTTCAAACAAACAAACTCTTCAGCTTTATATATTAGTAAAGATTGGTATCAGACACTCGGGGTACCGTTGAGCACCTTCATATGACGTTCAATGTACAGCTATAGAGCAATCCGGTTGCTACTACTGGTATTCTATAGTAATAGCACTCACACGGAATTACTCGTAATTTGTAATGAATCTACTCTCACCGCAGCATCGAACAACCATAACAAAATTGCTTTCAGAACTATCCATATATCGATCAATTGTTTCTTGCCAAACAAACAAAAAAAAATTCATACAAATAAGGGACAGTTATTAAACTAGCGAAATCAGAAATATTGTGTTGAAACTACCAGAAGATTAAGCATGTGTAAACGAAATTTATACTTATATATAAAGCTGAAGAGTTTGTTTAAACGCGTAAGAACTACTTGTTTTAATTGAAAAAAATATTTTAGTGTTGGATAGATTATTATTATCGATGAAGGAAACATCGCGCTGTGACTAATAAGAGCAAAGAAACAATGCGAAATGTGAAAACGGGGAAAATTTTAGTTTTTCGATGCGAACGCTGCGAAAACGGTCAAGTAGCCCAAAAATATGTTTGAAAGAATGATTTCTCTTTCAATGATCGAAAAAAGTCTCCGATACTATATAACTATCATTTAAGATTAAGTCATATATATCAGTTAAGTTAAGTTTTAAAAACAAATTTGGATGACACAGGTAGAAAATGATAAAATTCTAGAAAATTTATTCTCCTAAATGAAACCCAAAACATATACATTCGGAAGCAGCTCCAATCTGTATGCCGTATACATAGAATATTTTGCCAAAAGCATCTAAGCGTCGTTTCTAATGGAGGTACTCAAATAATGAACTGCGTGTATCACGACATCAAAAGTGTAGCTCATACGTCCACGAAATGTAAGAGGTTTAATTAAAATCAAGTCACACACGTCGCCGGCCCTCGCCACATATGGCTACCGTTGCGCCGATACAAAGCCGATTTGTGAGTCACGTGACGTCGTCATTCTTTAAACCGAACTGACAATTACCAACTAAATATAAAACAGACCTGCACGTGTTTATCTCTAACCATTTATAAACGCGGTGATGTAAAAAATTTCGCTCCGAACTGTTGATTTCTGAGTAAGTGACGAGTGGATTCTTACTGGCCTTTCGAGCTTTTCGTTAAAAGTATATTTGGAGTACTTAAGTATCTAATCACAACATAGTATAAAACGACGTCGCTCTTTCTGTCCCTGTGTACGCTTAAATTATAACTTAGTTTTTATATTCCATGCTTTGAAATTTTTCAATAGACTAGGATAAGTATTTAGCACAAAGGTATTCTAGTTAATTCCCTTTTTCGCGTCGTCAAATACTATTTGACAGAGATGCATGATCCTTTCGGACGTTACTTGAAGGATTCGAAAAACCCATTAACTGAAGCCACATTTACTTTACCCGCGATTGATTTTCGAACTATTAATTATTATAGATGGCTCGAGACTTGTATAAAAATTAAAGAACTTTCTTAAC